AATGCTGATAGAAAACATGAGGTTAGATGAAAAAACATTTGTAGAGATGTGTGAACAAGGAATTAGGTGTGATTCTTAATTTAGTAATTCAATTTCCTATCCGCAGTGAGTGGATAACATGAGTGATTTATTACTGAAGTGTTGTACACACATTTTTTTCAGGCAGAATAAACTTTTCAAAGTGACTTTTGCAGTCTACTGATAAATTTGTGTAAAAATTCTTCTCCTCCTCCTCGTCCTCCTCCTACTGCTGCTTCTCCTTCCCCTCCTTATTCTCCTTTTTCTCTATTCAACCTTAAAAGGCCAGATGACAAGTTATGTTGCCATTTACAGATACCATACACTATCTTCATCTTTAAGCTCAATGTATCTGATTTCTGCAGACCCTTAATTTGTCACCTTTTACACCATGTTTGTTAGTGGTTCATGGGGTCTGTTCTTTTTGCCATGGAAATCGGGGCCACAGAACCCACACAGAGTTAAACAATAATTCAAAATGCAAAGAAAGATGAGAAAGTAGATTTGACTTTCTTAGTCCCTGCCAAGTGTTAATCGAATCATTTTATTCTTTAAAAAAAATATTTTTAAAAAGTTAATGCGTTTTCAATGTAAATGATGGATCAAATTAATAACATTAGGAAGCAGAAAGAGTTAGAATAACAACTGAGGGTTGGTGTAACAATTCGATGGGTTGCAAAGAGTTGAGAAAATGTAGCATATAATTGGAAAACAACAAACATGACAAGTTGATCATTACTGAATGAGCTAAAACTCTTACATATGTAATTGATTTGATTACAGTCAGTGCACACAAAAACAAAAATAATAATTAAATACTAGGTAAGTATACAATTAATACATAATAAGCACATAAAATGGAAGATATTGAATAACATTACCTAGAGAGAATAACTCAAGACTTGGGGGGAAGGGGGGGGGGGGCAAGTCAAGTAGTTAAGAAAAGACAAGTAGTTAAGGAAAGGCAAGACAAGCAGTTAGAGAAAGACAAGAAAAGAAGTTAACCAGATGAAAATGGGTACCATCAGTATGGAGACTCTTAGCTGCCTGTTGAGGAGGGAGATAGAGCTAAAACTGGCTTGTCCTGAATGTTGTGTTGTCGAATCTCTATCCAGATGAACCCAGATAAACATAATAAACTTCTTACTTTTCTTCTTCTGTTGTTCTCAGTTGGAGCATAGGTCCTTAGCCAGCTCTCGGAGTCATCATCATCATCAGGTGCATTGCAGCATGTATCAGTTTGTGTGCCGACACACCTCCATGCCATGCAACAAGACTGACTCTCGTTGTCTTCCTCTATCCCTCCTTCCACAGATCTTTCCAGTGGTAACAACATGTTCTATTTTCCCTCTTCTCATAACATGGCCACAAAATGATGACTGTCTCTTTCTGATGTCTGTGATAAGTTGTCTTCGGGCTATTTCAAAACCTCTTGGTTGCTCTGGGAGTACTGGCTGTTAACTTGGTTATTCACAGCTCAAGGTAAAGTAAAATAAAGGACCCTTTTCTATTCCTTCAGGCATATTGGGCATATAAGGCTAGACATAAATATTACCATTCAGCACTAGGAGGGTGATGGGGTCAGCATCACATTGGCCACCTTTTCCTTTCCTTGGTCTTAACCTGGTTTAAGGTTGGATCAACCTAGGAGCTGGGTCAACCTGGGAGCTGGGTCAACCTGAGATCCAAGGTCTACACCATGGCAGCTCAGAGTTCTAGCTGTTAACTAACACTGTTGTCCTTTCCCATCTCATTTAGCTCTCACTGTATCCTCCCCATAATATCCATTTCTGCCACTATTCTTCATGCTTTCTTAAGTCTCCCTTCTCTCTTTTTGTCCCTTCCAGTGCAAGGGCATTCTAGTTATACTACTAACATAACTGCTTGCTGTGATTTCTGTCCAGCATCAGCATCTTTTCGTCACCTCTTGATTCACTTAAATTTGTTTAGTTCAATCTTGGCATTAGTTATTCTTCCAAACATACATATGGTCAGAAGTCTTAATTATTTAGTGAAATATGGTTCAAGCAGTTTTATATTTTTCTTTTAAACAGAGAAATCGCAATATTTGGGAAGCCAGATTTGGTGACCTGAATCCAGGAACCTGGTACTTCGTCGAGGTGAGCTGGTCTCAAGACGACGGCCTGACCCTTTATATTAATGGCCAGGAAGTAAGCGTACAGGTGCGGGAAAAGTTTACTAGAGAGCCAACATTGACTAATGTAATGAACGCTTTCATTGGACGAAGCAATAAAGAAGGTCAAGATGAAAAACTGGCCAATGCTGTCCTTGATGATGTGGATATTTATTATGGGACCAGAGACATGCTGTCTAGCATTGGGTACCTGTCCACAGGTAGGTTACTCTGTGTGAAAGTCTATTTCATTGAGCTGAACTGAACTGAGTCAAGAAAAGTCATCACCTCACTCATGATATTCTCATACATGCTTCATCCTCATCTTCAGCAGCTAGCAAAGGGTTACAGTATCTACCAGTAGCAGTTTAAAAATGTCTTTTTTGGCTTTCCCTTGAGTGTAGAGTGTCAGTCTGATCCCCTGGTTACTCCCTGTGATACCCACTCTCCCTACATATTATGATCTATTTGTTTTGTTCTATTTATACTTTCATATGGGCCTTTTGCTCCCAAAGTGCTTTGACTGCATCTAACTATATTGTCAGTTAGATAAATGCTTTGAAAGTGACTAAGACATAAAGTCTATACTAAAATTGCACCATGGGAAAGCTGCCTGCTGCTAGAGGCAGGAGGGGAAAGGCCCTGACCTAGTGCAGTAACTGCAACCTACGAGAAGGGCTGGCTTCGTATGAACTGAGGCATAGCCATAAATGAGATGCGGAGAAGCACCATGGCAGTAGTACTAATTTCTGTGTCATAGAGAACATCAGGTGAAAGTCATGACGGAGGCTCAAAAGCTGAGGCAGAGATGCGGAGAAGCACCATGGCAGTAGTACTAATTTCTGTGTCATAGAGAACATCAGGTGAAAGTCATGACAAAGGCTCAAAAGCTGAGGCAGAGATGCAGAAGCACCATGGCAGTAGTACTAATTTCTGTGTCATAGAGAAACATCAGGTGAAAGTCATGACGGAGGCTCAAAAGCTGGGGCAGAGGGATTGTCTCATTCCTACCCTTGTTGTTGTTTTTATTGTTGTTCGTCCATCACACGAGATGAGGACCATTCTTTCTTTCATCCTTCATGAAACCATTGTGAAATATGAATGAAATAATGAAAGAGGGACTTGCGAAGTAAATTGGTTTAAAGTGAGGAAGAGTTGCGCAATGTTGTCAACCTCACTCTCTCACCTGAGTCCATCAGGATCCAGTGACAGGACAAGTTGAGATGACCAGAGATGAAGTCAGGTGCAGTGGATGACCAGGCTGCTCTATGTGCCTCTCCATGCTCTTTACACTCCACAGCACGTTCCTGACACTCACCATCAGGTCTGGTGAACCAAGTATTAGATTTCCTTCAGCTGAGTCCAGTATTTGCAAGCTTGGAAAGGCAGATAATTCCCACTCATAGTGCTGCTGTAGATACAATGGTGAAGCATGAGGTACATGAGGTTTGCCTTTTTTTGGGTAAGCACATATAGTGGTGCAATCAAGGGACATATATCATTAGCAGTAAACCCATGTTTTATATTGGCAAAGGATTCAAATGCACAAAAGGAGAAGGACAATCAGGATCAGATCCAGGTGGGCCTGCCTCTAGAGAGTGTGAGTAGGCTGACACATTTGCAGTACGAGGACCACTGCTGATTTTTTTTTTTTTTTTTGACAGATGTTCTTCTATGCCATGATGCCAAATTATCAAATATCTTCACTTTTGGTCTTTTCCTGCCTCTCTTCCCTTCCAACATCCCTGTTGCGGTGTACTCCAGTTTTCCTCTTCTCATTACATGCTCAATGAATGTGGATTGTGTACTTATGGTACTGGTAATTACTTTTCTTTGTGATCTAACTTTTTTAGACTACTTTATGTATGCTTTATAGCTGTCCAAGATGTTTTCATTATTTTTCTTTAAAGCCACATTGAGTCATGTTTCTCGATATGTTTTCAGAGCGTCCCAAAAATTTTCATTTTCACCTTGAGGATAAAGCAGGAAATAGAATCGTCCATGATGAAATGACCATCTCTCTCAGTGGGTCTCCGAGTTTTACTAATGGAAAAATCGGTCAAGCTTTACGGCTGGGTGGAAACAGTGAGGCTGCTGATTTTGGGGATCACAGATCTGATTGTTTTGGCAACCTTGACCTCTGCCATCTTGGAGTGTTGTACTCCATGTGGCTGCGATCAGACAGACTGAGGGATGGCGTGTATTTCCTGTCTAGTGGTGACAATGGAATCAGCTTGAGTTACAGGTGATGCATTTAAAAAAAAAGATTTTTTAAAACTATTTTTTTGACTAAGGTAAACCATTTTCAGCGGCGTCCGTGGCTAAGGCGTTGCGAGTCTGACTCGTAATCCAACCTACCGCGATCGAAACCTGCGTGGGCTGCGTGGATTTTTATCGTGGTATGGGACGTCGCACGACCCAGCCTCAAATGGGTACCAGGATGGGCTGTCCTGGGAAAGTAAAGACGGCCGGCGTAATGCTGACCACATTACCCACAGAGTGCCGATTGGTCTGAAAAATATGGGTGCTCTTCCCATATACCCGATGCGCCTAAGGGCGTGTAAAGGGATCTTTACTTTACTTTACTTTAAACCATTTTCTGTGGTATATTTGATGGTATTAGAACATTTTATTTGTGATATTTGACTAAAGTTAAACATTTTCTATGGTATAGTTGACTTAAGTAGAACATTTTATTGTATATTAGATTAAAGTTAGCAGTTTATTTAGAAGATGTGACTAAAATAGAATTTTGTATTTTGTAAACTTTACACAAGTATTATGTATGTTTTTTGTTGTATATGGGTTTAAAGTAAGAAATTTTATGAAGAATATTTTGACTCTAAAGGGGACAAAAACTGTATGCTGTGGCAAGAACATCGGCTGAACAGTGGGAAGCCAGCACCTCCAACATAGCAGTCGGACAGTGGTACTTTGTTGAAGTGTCATTCCATCCCATCCATGGCCTCAGTCTTTACCTCAATAATGAACTGATAGCTGAGGATACAGAACCAGTTGCCAGAACGGATCCTCCATCTCGGTCCTCAGAAACTAACAGGTAGGTTGCCAGGAAAAATTTAAGTCTGTCAGTCCCAAGCAATAGTGGCAGGTCCACCATGTTTTTGGTATGAAGGGTGGGGGCCGACAGCACCATTTTGAAAACCTCATTTTGTTATGAAACAGATCGTCATTTTTAATGAACTGATAGGACATCTGAACACTTGGAGTCTCCTACTGGAAATAGAAAGCTTATCACATAGATGAATGGTAACAGGTGATATCTGCAGAAATGAACCTCAAGGGCTCTCAATGCTGAAAAATGTCACTGTTTTCCAGGGATTGTAACATTCATAACAATTTGTGAAAGGCCACTGTTACATAGAAGTCTGACCAACCTAGTGGCAACTTGAACTTCTGTTACTATTTATATTATTAAATATAATATTTATATTATTCAGGTAATTTTTTTCAATTGCTACATGTGGCATGCAGTAGTATTTTTTGGAGCTCTTTTAATATTTGAAAGACTATTTTTTTGTTTAAAATGACTAAGCTAAGATAAACATTGCTTAGAATCATTTTTATTTGTGGTACTGTTCTAGTGATTCTGTAATTCTTTTTTCAAACATAAAATAATGTTGGCATGGTTTCCTCTCCTGCTATTGTAGATTTTACCTGGGTCGCGGAAATGTCGACATGACAGGTGCCAGATATGCAGAAGCCACATATGACGAGCTGGAAGTTTGGTACGCAGACAGAGACTACCTCATAGCACATGGATATATTCAGAGAGGTAAATGTCACGTGGAATTAATGTTTAGGTTTCAGCTTCTATGGCAGAAAGTTTATATTTAAAAAAACACACACAAAAACCACATCATCTTCATGGTTGTCAGTAGATGATATAAGAGTCGCATCATAGAAGTGGTTGACACCTTGCCACATAATTCTCTGAAGATAGCAGGGGATGCATTGAAATCGACCTATATTGTGTATGTGGCACACAAAAACTTTTTTTGTTTGTTTGCTAAAGTGTTAGTCAAAAGAACTCCACCAGAAAAGGGGGGGGGGGGGGGGGGATGGGGGTAGGGGTTACAACTAGGGCTGTACCGAATAGTGATTTTCACTATTTGGCCGAATACGAATAATGGGACCAACTTTTCGGCCGAATACGAATACGAATAGTGTATAGTGAATAAAATATATTAAAAAAAAACAAAAAAAAACATTCATAATGTCAAATGACTTTAGCAGATGTTGAAGGGCATAGTATAAACTTTATTTCTAGATTGTATTCTAGATTGTATTTCTTTTCTCAGCATATTGGAGCAGTTGAAGTTTGCACCCACAGTACTTATATGTTTCCGTTCGTTTGATTTTCATATTATCGACTTGGATGTGGCTGGAGTTAATATTCTTTCCATGTCTAGTTTAGTATTCGTACAAATAAAACATTAAAATCTTTCATGTTTTGCATCCTTCAGTCAGTCTGTGGTAACTAATAACTAGGAATGAAAGAATCCTAAGTATTATAACAAGTAACTAAACTTGGAAATTGTCGCTGACAGCTTAGTTAATGCAGGAAAGCTGCATTTGCTATGAACAAAACCAATCGTTCCATGTTGTCAGCATTAAGGCAGTGTATGCAGATGTGGGTGTAAGGTAACTACTATTCGTATTCGGCCCTACCGCAACTATTTGGCCGAATACCGAATAGTCAATAGGTCCACTATTTTGCCCCGAAGCGAATACGAAGCGAATATTCGGTACAGCCCTAGTTACAACAGGATTGCTTTGATTCTCCTCTAAAAGATCACTCATCACATTGTTGTGGGGTTTACAGCTAGGCTAGGAAATCTGAACCTTTCAGCCCAAAACATACGATTTTAGCAAACTCTTAATTAGTTACCTTTTATAATATTCTGTTTAGGGAGCACTCCGACTTTGAAGGCAGCTCCCAGTCAACTTTTATGACATGCTTGTTGGGGAGGCAGTTGGTCTATTCTTGTTTCCCCCCACAATGAGGCCCTTGAACCACATGGGAGAGTGTGGTTTTTATAAGAGACAATGTCTTTTAATGTGACCAAAATATTTCAAATCTCTTTCTTTATTCTTTTGGCAATTCTGCTTTCATTGTCACTCTATAAAAACACAGGTCCTCTTGATTAATTTGAAAAAAAAAAAAAATAAAGAAACAAAAATTATCAGAATCAAATGAAATGTGTTTTACCAAAATCAGTGGCTCCAAATATAAATAGAATATTTTTCATATTCTTTTTTTAATTGTTTTTTTTAATTACTTGTTCCTTTTTTTTTTTGCTGATGTAGAATGATGCTGCAACATCCTGTATTTTATTTTTTGTGTGTGTTTTTTGTTGTAATTATAATTTTATCAAGCTGATTTACTTTTCCCCCTCCAACAGCTGTCAGAGATAAAGTTAAACAACTATTAATTGATTTGTTTCTTTCCTTTAGGTCGCCCTCAACATTTCCTCATTGATTTTGAAGAGCTGATTGACCATGAGAGACTCATGCATCCTGTCCTATCTATCAGGCTGGTCGGAAGACCTGTGCTAGTTCCTGGGAAGGTATGCAGTTTGTAATATTTGTATTAACTTCTGCTTGTTTTATTTGTTCAGCATACATAGGGACCTTCAACTAGTTTATTCAGGAAGCAATGTGTGCCTTATTATCTGATTTCATCTTGTTCTGTTTAGTATTGTCTTGCTTATTTAAGCCTGTCCTTTCTTGCCAGGTCCCGTCTCATCTTGCTCTGTGCAGTTTTGACTTGTTTAATCCTGTCTTATCTTTCCTTGGCCGTCTTGTCTTGTCCTATTTTGTTTTGTCTTATTTAATCCTGTCCTGTCTCTTCCTGTGGTGTCTTATCTTATCTTATTTAATTCTGCCATCTCTAATGATCTTGCTTGTCCTATTCTGTTTTATGATCATGTCCTATCTTGCCTTATGATCAAATCCTATTTTTTTACTTATTGTATCCTGTCCTATCTTGTTTTACTTGATCTCGTTCCATCATGCCCTGTCTTATCTTATGATAATATCCTGCCTTGTCTTACTTGATTCTGCCCTGTCTTTTTTAAATCTTTTTTAATTCTGTCTTTTCTTATAATTATATCCTGTCTTGTCTACTTGATCTTGTCCTTCTTGGTATTATTCTTTTTGTCTAATTACTGCTCTGAACTTATGATTATATCCTGTCTTGTCTTACTTGCTGTTCACTCATCTTCTAATGTTATCCTCTTTCTTGTATCATCTCCACTTACTTTTTTTATAAAGTTTGTGTTCTAATATCCCTGCACAATTTCACTTGTCTGTCTTTCTTTTCTTTTAAACACTCTATTTTTTTTCCTGTATGTCCAGTTTCTTTAAATCCTTTGTAACTAATTGTTATTGTTTCCATGAAATATGACATATACTTGTGTTCATCCATTTCTCTGGAGCCTTAGTTCAGTTTTTTAATTTCTTGTTCATTGCTTAGTCTTCTGCTCCATTTTGTAGGGTTTGGTTTACTGTTTATTATTTACAGCTCTAAATTATTTTTTTAAATGTTTTTGAAAATATTTGTGGCTGTTTCCATTTTCATTTCTAATCCACTTCTGCTATCATCTGTTATTGCACAACTGCAGGTAAACAATGCACTGCAGCTACAGGGAAGAGGCCAGTATGCAGATCTTGGTCAACGAGGTGGGGAATGTTTTAGCAACCTGGCAGAATGCTCTCAGGGAATTACCATTGCAGCCTGGATGAGGTACTGTTGTGTCAGAAAGTGATTATAACTAAAACATTATTGGCTGTGATTTTTCTAATCTTACCTTTGATAAACTTCACCAATTGTTTGGTTTGGTTTTGGTTTATAAAATAGATCAACATCATGGCACAAGGGTAGTAACCCATAAGTGCTCTGTTCTACTTCTAACTCAAGCCTGAGTCTGAAGAATCTCAGCACAGTACAATGAACTTTGTTGCACTGACGAAGATCCTGAAATACTTTGGGTAGATTTTCAACTCCAAATTTTGCCGGGGCAGCACGTTTGGCTACTCCTTTCGATTTCTGCCTGCCATGGATTTTTTTTGTGTGAGCAACAATACACCTGGGCGTCCGATCTTACTTCCCAGAGACAAGGGGAAATTACTAGAAGTCCACGTGAAAAAATCCCAGCCTTAAACTGGGGCCTGAACCCAAGACCAGCACCCGAGGTGGGCACCAGGCTTCAAGACCACTCAGCACCCTGTCCCTGCTAATTTTGTCATTATCATATCAATAATAAACTTCACTAACAGTGTATCATTATCATGTCCTTGATAAACTACACTAAATTGTATCACATACTACACTTGTGTCATTATCATGTCATATCACTAAATGTAAACCTTGATAAACTACACTAAATGTATCATTATGTCTTTAATAAACTTCACTAAATCTTATCATGTCCTTGATAAACTTCACTAAATGTAGGTCCTTAATAAACTACCCTAAATGTCATCATTATCACCTTGATAAACTACACTAAGTGGATCATTATCATGTCCTTAATAAACTACACTAAATGTATCATTATCATGTCCTTGATAAACTACACTAAATGTATCATTATCATGTCCTTGATAAACTACACTAAATGTATCATTATCATGTCCTTGATAAACTACACTAAATGTATCATTATCATGTCCTTGATAAACTTCACTAAATGTATCATTATCATGTCCTTGATAAACTACACTAAATGTATCATTATCATAAAACTACACTAAATGTATCATTATCATGTCCTTGATAAACTACACTAAATGTATCATTATCATGTCTTTGATAAACTACACTAAATGTATCATTATCATGTTCTTGATAATTGTTATCTGTGCATCTCTACTAATAAATAATTCTTACTAAAAATGTCTGAACCGTTTTCACTGAGGTGAAATGACTGAAGTCACTGTTTTTAAGATATGAATGGCTTTGAAAGTATTTTCCAGACAGAAAATGTCCTTGTCATAATTGTCAGGATAAATGTCTTCATCATTCTTTTCCAGATTAAAATATCTGTGTTAATATTTTTAGATAAATATGTTATTTATATCACTATTTTCCAGGTAAAAATAATTTTTTCAATAGTTTTCAGATAAAATTGTCATTGTCACTATTTGCCGGATATTTAAAAGAAAAAAAAAGAGACCTTTCCAGTATTTTTTTCGGAAGAAAATATCTTTATCACTTTGTTCCAGAACTATTTTGCAGATACAAATGGATTAACCACTATTTTCTAGGTAAAATTGACCTTTTGACTATTTTTCCAGATAAAAACTACTAATTTTTCAAGTTACAAATGACTTTGTATCTATTTTCCAGATAAATATGACCATGGCCATTTTCCAGTGTTTGCAGTATTTCTCATTAGTTTAATAAACAAAGTTAAATTTTCTAGATGAACCTTAAATCTAATTCTTTTGAATTCATTTTGAACTTTCTGCAGATTTCATCGCTTTGAGAATAACATGGTTTTCTTATCGACTGGAGAAAATGGTATATTGATGATGTATAAGGATGGCTATATTCATGTCAGTGCTGGAGGTAGAGGCGGGATTACCACAAGCAGGTAAGAATGCGAATTGGAAATAAATATAAGCACATTACAAACAGATTTAGAAAGTGAGTTTTTCATTTATGGAAATTTTAGTGGAAAGTTATGGTGGTTCGTCCACCGCAGGACTTGAGTCTTGTTCCAGAACCTGAATGTTGCGTGCACATCTGTTTTACAGATCTGGCTTATTTTTAAGCAAACTGTTGAGTCCTTGCCTTTCAGGCAGATTCACTCCTGACTTCAAAGGAAGCCCCCTAGTCAGTCAACTCTTACAACATGCTTGTTGGTGAGGCAGTGGGTCTGTTTTTGTTCCCCCCATGATGGGGCCCTAGATCCTACACAGGGATGAATGTGGGTTCCAGGAACCCATTTTGTGTGGGAAAAAGAATAGACCCACTGCCTCTTAAAGAGCATGTTGTAAAAGGTGACTAAATAAGGGTTTGCTAAAATCAGATTTTTTGGTACAATGTTAATTGCATAACCTTTACTGAAAGTTGCATAACCAACCCCAGCAGTTTTGTGCTGTTTGTGATTTCACTGGGTAATTTTATGTTCAGTGGATTGCCATTGGGGAGTCCCTGTGGTGTAGTGACTAGATGCTCACCTGGGGATCCAAAGGTCATTGGTTCGAGTGCTGATGAAGCCAGATTTTTGTTTCTTCAGAAATGACCTTGCCTCCCAGGTTGACCCCTCCTTGAGTGGGTACCAGGTGTAGTCTTGGGAAGTCGGCAAGATGCTGACCTTGGTCTATAAAATGTAGATCTATTCCTGTCTGCCTAATATGCCTGAAGGCGTGGAAAATGGACCTTACATTAATTTTTTTAGATTGCCATTGCTTTCTAAACATTCGGCTCTTGATACCACTATCAAAACCAATGCAAAGTAGTCTGCTGCCATATCACCTGCAGCTGGGATCAAATGTGGCACCTTGGAATTATGAAACACATTCGCAACACCTAAGCCACAGACATTTGGACAAAAGGCAAAGCTATTGCAGCCTAGCCGTAATCTGCACAACTGGCAAGTAATGCACTAATGCATTTTGGAAGAAGCATGGGCAGAGCTGATATCGCCAATGCTGTACAGATCAGGCTGGTGGATAATAATGAATCTCTGACTCTAACATGATTGTATGCCCTAGGCTTAAGGTTGGTGAAGCATGTCTGTGCTGTCTTCATGGAGGAGACAGGAGCCACTAAAACCAGCTTCTCATGAAACAATCACTAGAAGTATCTAGAAGTGGCTAATGCATAAAAGCAATCAGCATGAATGGAAATTCCAGTGTGCTTTGACATCAATTATGATAACACAATTCACTGTGCCAACCATAAACACAGAAGAAAATGAAAAGAAGAAAAAAAGAAGAAGAAGAAGAAGAAGAAGAAGTGACTAGAATGAATGTTAAATGTTTTTATTATTATATAAATTCACTAAAACTGATCATGTAAAGTGTTACTATTTAGCATATGATGTTCGCTGGATTTATTCTCCGGGTGTGTTGGGAAGTGAACAGGCGGACAGACTTGCTGGCTCTGCACAACTTGGTGGAATACTGATGCATGATAAGGCAGACGTGGTTAGTGCCTTGTGGGAGAGCGTGTACAGTTCGGAGGAGCAGATGGATCACCATAGTCTGGTGAGATTGATGCAGTTGGGGTGTGATGAGGGGTTCTGGCCGATGCTCAAGGTTCAGAGGAAAGGCAAAACGGGCGTTTAATCAGAATGCTGCTGGCACCATTAGTATTGGAACTCTGCCATGGCTGCTGAAGATGGGGACAGAGTGCTTATAGGAATGACTCGAAGGCTGTGATGCCCGTTCTTAAATCAAATCAAATCAAATCTAGTCCACTGTGTTGGTATCTTGGTCCTATTGTGGATGAAAAAAAATGTAATAGACCCACTGCTTCCTTAACAAACTTGCCATAAAAGGTGACTTATTAGGGCTTGTCTGGAATCAGAAGTGCTGAGCTGACAGATGCAGATATTGCTGCCTGGCTGTGGACCACAATACATGTCAACCACTCCTTTAACAGCAAATGCAGAAGAAAAAAGAAGAAGAAAAGGAGACATATGCTAAGTAAATTTGTGTTGAATGGGTTATAAGTTATTTGTTGTCCACTTTTTCTAGATTTGAAAGTGGCAGGTGGTACTTTGTTGAAATCACCTGGCACCCAGAAACAGGCCTCAAGCTGTTCGTTGACAATGAACTGCGTTCACAATCTGGCAAAGATGCTGTGGTGTCTCGTGGCAAAGGAAGCTTCTACATTGGCAGGCCAAACCAAGGAGATGTCCCTTCAAGCAGGTATTCTACAGGCTACTTTGATGTCGATGAGATGGAGATCTGGTATGGAGAAAGGGACAGTCTCCTGGCCTTTGGATATATCAACAGAGGTAAATCGTCATCAATTTCATGTAGGAGATCCTTCACAAAATATTGTTTCCACCACAGCCCACCAGAAACAAACTCAGTCCCTCACCAGCACTCCTACATATTCCTTTCCAAGATTACTCTTATGTCTTCTGTTAACCTTCATGCTGGTCGGTCTTTGACTCCCTTTACTTCTGTTCTTTCCCAGCTATTGCACCATTTAATATGCTTAAAGTATTTTTATTTTCAAGACAAGATGCTGTTTATGAGCAAATTTTCCTCATGTGGTTTCCAGGGCCCTATTATAAGGAAAACAAGAATAGACCCACTGCCTCCCCAAAAGCAAGTCGTAAGAGTCAACTAATTATTTAAAATGGATGCACACACAGCACTCAAGTTCTGGAACTAGACTGCAGTCCAGAAGTCTATGAACAACCAGAAATTTCTGCCAGAGTGTACAGCTGGTAAACAAGAAGAAGAAGAAGAAGAGCAAATTTTGCTCAGTGCTTATATCTTTTAGAATGTAAATATTTCTGTTCTTTTTGGTCCATGATGCCCTAAATATCTATAGCATTTCAGCTCATTTGGCCTGATTTCCTTCCATAACTTTAACTGGTCATTTGTGATTGTTAGGATTGTCTATGATTGTTAGGATTGTTTGTGATTTTTATGATTGTTTGTGATTGTTAGGATTGTTTTTGATTGTTATGATTGTTTGTGATTGTTAGGATTGTTTGTGATTTTTATGATTGTTTGTGATTGTTAGGATTGTTTGTGATTTTTATGATTGTTTGTGATTTTTATGATTGCTTGTATTTGTTAGGATTGTTTGTGATTGTTAGGATTGTTTGTGATTGTTAGGATTGTTTGTGATTGTTAGGATTGTTTGTGATTGTTAGGATTGTTTGTGATTGTTAGGATTGTTTGTGATTTTTATGATTGCTTGTATTTGTTAGGATTGTTTGTGATTGTTAGGATTGTTTGTGATTGTTAGGATTGTTTGTGATTGTTAGGATTGTTTGTGATTTTTATGATTGTTTGTGATTGTTAGGATTGTTTTTGATTGTTATGATTGTTTGTGATTGTTAGGATTGTTTGTGATTTTTATGATTGTTTGTGATTGTTAGGATTGTTTGTGATTTTTATGATTGTTTGTGATTTTTATGATTGCTTGTATTTGTTAGGATTGTTTGTGATTGTTAGGATTGTTTGTGATTGTTAGGATTGTTTGTGATTGTTAGGATTGTTTGTGATTTTTATGATTGCTTGTTATTGTTAGGATTGTTTGTGATTGTTAGGATTGTTTGTGATTGTTAGGATTGTTTGTGATTGTTAGGATTGTTTGTGATTGTTAGGATTGTTTGTGATTGTTAGGATTGTTTGTGATTGTTAGGATTGTTTGTGATTGTTAGGATTGTTTTTGATTGTTATGATTGTTTGTGATTGTTAGGATTGTTTGTGATTTTTATGATTGTTTGTGATTGTTAGGATTGTTTGTGATTTTTATGATTGTTTGTGATTTTTATGATTGCTTGTATTTGTTAGGATTGTTTGTGATTGTTAGGATTGTTTGTGATTGTTAGGATTGTTTGTGATTGTTAGGATTGTTTGTGATTTTTATGATTGCTTGTTATTGTTAGGATTGTTTGTGATTGTTAGGATTGTTTGTGATTGTTAGGATTGTTTGTGATTGTTAGGATTGTTTGTGATTGTTAGGATTGTTTATGATTGTTAGGATTGTTTGTGATTTTTATGATTGCTTGTATTTGTTAGGATTGTTTGTGATTGTTAGGATTGTTTGTGATTGTTAGGATTGTTTGTGATTGTTAGGATTGTTTGTGATTGTTAGGATTGTTTGTGATTGTTAGGATTGTTTGTGATTTTTATGATTGTTTGTGATTGTTAGGATTGTTTGTGATTTTTATGATTGTTTGTGATTGTTAGGATTGTTTTTGATTGTTATGATTGTTTGTGATTTTTATGATTGCTTGTATTTGTTAGGATTGTTTTTGATTGTTATGATTGTTTGTGATTTTTATGATTGCTTGTATTTGTTAGGATTGTTTGTGATTGTTAGGATTGTTTGTGATTGTTAGGATTGTTTGTGATTGTTAGGATTGTTTGTGATTGTTAGGATTGTTTGTGATTGTTAGGATTGTTTGTGATTGTTAGGATTGTTTGTGATTTTTATGATTGTTTGTGATCGTTAGGATTGTTTTTGATTGTTATGATTGTTTGTGATTTTTATGATTGTTTGTATTTGTTAGGATTGTTTTTGATTGTTATGATTGTTTGTGATTTTTATGATTGCTTGTATTTGTTAGGATTGTTTGTGATTGTTAGGATTGTTTGTGATTGTTAGGATTGTTTGTGATTGTTAGGATTGTTTGTGATTGTTAGGATTGTTTGTGATTGTTAGGATTGTTTGTGATTTTTATGATTGCTTGTATTTGTTAGGATTGTTTGTGATTGTTAGGATTGTTTGTGATTGTTAGGATTGTTTGTGATTTTTATGATTGCTTGTATTTGTTAGGATTGTTTGTGATTGTTAGGATTGTTTGTGATTGTTAGGATTGTTTGTGATTGTTAGGATTGTTTGTGATTGTTAGGATTGTTTGTGATTGTTAGGATTGTTTGTGATTGTTAGGATTGTTTGTGATTGTTAGGATTGTTTGTGATTGTTAGGATTGTTTGTGATTGTTAGGATTGTTTGTGATTGTTAGGATTGTTTGTGATTGTTAGGATTGTTTGTGATTTTTATGATTGTTTGTGATTGTTAGGATTGTTTTTGATTGTTATGATTGTTTGTGATTTTTATGATTGTTTGTATTTGTTAGGATTGTTTTTGATTGTTATGATTGTTTGTGATTTTTATGATTGCTTGTATTTGTTAGGATTGTTTGTGATTGTTAGGATTGTTTGTGATTGTTAGGATTGTTTGTGATTGTTAGGATTGTTTGTGATTGTTAGGATTGTTTGTGATTGTTAGGATTGTTTGTGATTGTTAGGATTGTTTGTGATTTTTATGATTGTTTGTGATTGTTAGGATTGTTTGTGATTTTTATGATTGTTTGTGATTGTTAGGATTGTTTTTGATTGTTATGATTGTTTGTGATTTTTATGATTGCTTGTATTTGTTAGGATTGTTTTTGATTGTTATGATTGTTTGTGATTTTTATGATTGCTTGTATTTGTTAGGATTGTTTGTGATTGTTAGGATTGTTTGTGATTGTTAGGATTGTTTGTGATTGTTAGGATTGTTTGTGATTGTTAGGATTGTTTGTGATTGTTAGGATTGTTTGTGATTGTTAGGATTGTTTGTGATTTTTATGATTGTTTGTGATTGTTAGGATTGTTTTTGATTGTTATGATTGTTTGTGATTTTTATGATTGTTTGTATTTGTTAGGATTGTTTTTGATTGTTATGATTGTTTTGTGATTTTTATGATTGCTTGTATTTGTTAGGATTGTTTGTGATTGTTAGGATTGTTTGTGATTGTTAGGATTGTTTGTGATTGTTAGGATTGTTTTGTGATTGTTAGGATTGTTTGTGATTGTTAGGATTGTTTGTGATTTTTATGATTGCTTGTATTTGTTAGGATTGTTTGTGATTGTTAGGATTGTTTGTGATTGTTAGGATTGTTTGTGATTTTTATGATTGCTTGTATTTGTTAGGATTGTTTGTGATTGTTAGGATTGTTTGTGATTGTTAGGATTGTTTGTGATTGTTAGGATTGTTTGTGATTGTTAGGATTGTTTGTGATTGTTAGGATTGTTTGTGATTGTTAGGATTGTTTGTGATTGTTAGGATTGTTTGTGATTGTTAGGATTGTTTGTGATTGTTAGGATTGTTTGTGATTGTTAGGATTGTTTGTGATTGTTAGGATTGTTTGTGATTGTTAGGATTGTTTGTGATTTTTATGATTGCTTGTTATTGTTAGGATTGTTTGTGATTGTTAGGATCATTTTTTATTTTTATGATTGTTTGTGATTGTTAGGATCATTTTTTATTGTTATGATTGTTTGTGATTGTGATAATGTGAAGCTCACTAGCTCTACTTTTAATTTGATTTGATATCTTTTAATGATTTCTTTAAAGCAAGTTTTAAAAAATATATATATTTTAATCACATCCTTAAAAAAATTTCGTCAGATTTTTGTATAAGTGAGTCAGGCTCCCATAGTGACCCAGCCAAAAAATGGCTGCCATACAATATATAAGAGAAAGGTTTTGATTTCACTGTGAAATTTAAAGTCTTAAATTTACATAATTTACATGCCTAAACATTTTAACATATTTTAACTAAAAACTAATAATTATGTCTTCCTCTCTCTCACCAGTCTTCTTCTCTCACTTTCCATTTTTAGCAGACTGGAATGAAGTTTACAGGGTTAATAAAATAATTGTATGTTTACAAATCATAATGTGCCCTGCCAACAGGTGTAGGTGCTCATGCGTGTCTACAGATCACGATCTCTGTTTGCCTGGAACAGCTCTCTTGATGATATCCTTCCATGCCATCGTGTCAGCCCGTCCAGCATCACCTCTCTTGGTCTGCCTCTACACCTTTTTCCACTGATCTTTCCAGTTGTCACGATGTTCTCCAGTGTCTTTCTTCTCATTATGTGGCCAAAGCACAGTGTTTGTCTCTTTCTAATTGTTGTATATAGAGATCCACTTTCAAGCAATTGTTGTTAGTTAATTTAACAGTCCAAGGTATTCACCTCAGAAACCACATGTCTGTTGCTTCCGAATTCTTCCTAATTTGTTCACTGACATTCCAAGATTCGCTGCCATACAGCAGAACAGGTTCTATGCAACATATTAGCACCCTATTTTTATTTAGAAATGTAAATTATTATTAATATTATTTTAAATTAACATTTTTGCTTCTATTTAATGCACTGATGTGTTCTGCAAATATGCTAGAATATTGATCCGTACATAATATGATTGGCCACATTAAGCTCTGGATTAATGATTCTGTAATAGCAATTTCCATGGTGAGAAGCTCTCAAGGCTTTGGAAAAGTGGTATGAGAGTCACACTATGGAAGAATTTGTGGTGCCACCATATAATATTCCTAAAGACAGCATTTGATGCACACATTTACTGCAACCAACCTCCAATGTGGAGATGACACACATTTGTTAACAGTACCATTTGAGTGTCTTCAACTAAAGAAAGTTAATCAATCTACAGAACCTACTTTATTGATTAAATGTTTTACTTAATGCTTTCGGCAAGTGGCTAGCCTTTCTACGGAGAGAGACTGAGCCGTAAATTGTCAAACCCAATACACTGAAGTTGATCCTCTCTACTTAAACTTTTCTTAACTCTTTCGGTCCCGGGGAAGGATCATCAGGGGCCCAAGGAGTGGTAAAGAGAGATACAATAAAATCAGCACATCTTGCATTCACTGGGGGCGTCTGGGTAGAAATCTCTAAATGTGTGATGCATTCCTTGTGTCTAAAAGAGTTAATGTTTTGTGTTTCTGACTTCAGTAAATTTATTTACAATCTGTTTTTTTTTTCTACTGCTGCTGATGGTAGACAACCTGAGTAAGTTAAATCATTGTTTGTTACATTTGGGGAAGGGATTGGTTTAGAGATATTGTGCCTAGCTCTAGTTCAAGTTGTCATTTAAAATAATAATCTTTGAGTGAAAATTTTATCAAAATGAGATCAGCTGAGTTAAGCAACCGTAATTATAGAATGTATTAACATAAGGGAAACATGTACCAGAAGTTTAGAAACAAGTGCCACGTATTTGTGTACTGCGCAACCAAGAAACATATAGCGAGTTATCTGGTAATTAAATTGTTGGCTTTGCAGACAACCTTGAGACTTCACTTATATGACATTCAGCTCTACATATAAGCTCAAAACTACTTACTCTTTTGTGATCTTTAACTCTGCATATAACATTGGGATTTTACTTACTTATGTCACCTTCACCTATAAAGATAACTATAAAGATAACTATAAAGGCAAAAACTTTTGGCCAAGAGAAACATCGGTGCAAGTCAAACTTTACAGGTCATTGAGTGAATTACAAGAGACAGTGAAGTTCATACTAGAGGCAACATTGCAGATATAGATAATCTACTTCAAGTAAACGAAAGAAGAAGAGGAAGAAGATAACTTATGATTTTACCTATTATGTGACCTTCAACTCTATAAATATATAACCTTGAGATTTTACTTACTGTTGTGACTTTCAAACAACGTTGAGACTTTACTTACTTATGTAACTTGTAACTCAGCAGATAATTTTGAGGTTTTACTTACTTTTGTGACCTTCAACTCTACAGATAACCTTGAGGCTTTACTTATTCATGTGATCTTCAACTCTACATATAACCTTGAGATTTTACTTATGTGACTTTTAACTCTACAGATAACCTTGGCTATGAAGCCTTTTCCATGGACTCTGCTGATGGACGTAGAATTGCACACACAAAATATGTTATTCTCTTGGTCAATGGAGCCAACATTGTACCTGGTCAATTTGGCAATGCTGTCAGTCTTAATGGCCGTGGGCAGTACGTAGACATGGGTACCCACTTTGACAGCTGTTTTGGTAATTTAGACTTTTGTGTCCATGGTCTGACCATGTCATTGTGGCTGAACCCCAGGGATCTCCGAGATGGACATACCTTTCTGTCCACCCCAACATACAGCCTCTTCTATGAAGACGGGCAGTTACATTCAGTGTTCCAGGGACAAAAGAGATCATGGACAACTTCCACTTCCCGGCTGCGTCCAGATGAGTGGCAGAGAATAACAACAGCTTGGCATCCAAAGAAGGGACTGACTTTGTATATCAATGATGAGGTCGTGGACCAGGATGAAGAGGGCGTTGAAGGAGCCTCAAGGAGAAAACCAGTTTCCGAGCATGTTTATCTCGGGCGAAGCTTAGACTCTGACACAAATACTGCCAACATGCTGGCAGATGATCTGCAAGTGTGGTATGATGAACTAGACCAGTTGCGTACTGTGGGTCAGTATAAAGGTAAGCACATGCTCTTATTTTTCTCCTTTTCTTTCTCTTGCTCTCCTTTTCCTCAGTCCTCCTCCTCCTTCTTATTCATCTTCTGCCTTTTAACTCCTAATGGAAGAAAAGCCCTAAATCAACTTATACAAATCTTTGTAGACTTCAGGAAGTAATAAGCACAAAACAGAATTATGACTGTAAAGCCAAGAGAAATTATGACTGGCCAAGAGAAACATCGGTGCAAGTCACACTTTACGGGTCACTGAGTGAATTACAAAAGACAGTGAAGTTAATACAAAAAACAATATTGCAGATATAGATAATTCATTTCAAGCCAATGAAAGAAGAAGAAAAAGAAGAAGAAGAACTGTAAAGCTCAGTGAAAGGATTGGAAAAGGCTTGCATAAATACAGTGGAATGTTTCTTTATCAAAAGACAAAAAAATAGACTAAGTAAACAACTTGCAAACCATTGTCAAAATTAACAAAAAGCAGTCTGCTGTCAAATCACCTGCAAGTGATTAAAAAGATCATTATCCTCAAGTGCCTTGCTGACTGACATGCACAGTCTTTCTTCTCAGAAGCTTGCAATCTCCAATAGCATGTATTAGTTCATGTGTTGACACCATTCATGCCATGACAAAAGTTTGTCAGTTATTTTCTCACTGCCTTCGTCTGTCTCTCTTTCCTAAAATTGTTCAAGTTGTCACAGCATGCACCAGTTTTTCTTTTTTCTTTTATAATTTGGATATTTTCTCTAGAGCATGCAGGTCTGTTGGGAAATTACCAGGCATACATACTGGCTGGTTCTAAGCACTTGCTGGTAACATGATGCATGACAATCTAGATGTTATCAAGGTCCTAAGGGAGCAAGTGATCAGTGCAGAGGTAGTTAGATTTTCACAGTCTGAAGAGAATAGTGCAGTGTTGAGTGTCATGTGATCTGGCTGATACTCAATACTTAAGGAAAGAGCAAGACGGACATATAATTAGATGCTGGTACTCTCAAAATTATAACTCTGTGCTGGCTTCTGAATACGGGGATGTAGCTTTTATGAGTGCTGTGATGTTGATTCTCAACTCATCTCAACTCTTCTTATAATGTGACCAAACATAATGACAGCCCGTTTCTCACTTTTACCATAATTTGTCTACAAGCGTTAGTCTCTTTAAAACAACAAGAAATGGCCTATTTAATTTTTATAAAATTCTAATTCTAAGTTCTTCCTCTCTCACAGTTCAAGTAGTACCACTGTCCATTGTTTTTGATGACTTCCGGAACAATGTGGTGCGAATTCACGACCGTGAAGTTCGAGGACACGGGGATATTCAGCTAGTTCAAGGCAAAGGCCAGAAATCAAGAGGCATCTACCTGTCGGGTCCTTCAGAATATTTGGACCTCGGTTCTAACTTCACCTGTGGAGGTATGGCATTTTAAATAGTCTGCTACATTTTGTTAGAAAACAGTATTTTATTTTCAGTGTTTCAAAGCCTCGGTAACGTAGTGGCTTGATGCTTGCCTGCTGACCCAAAAGTCTTCAATTTAAATCTGCATCAAGTCTGATTTCTATTTCAGAACTGACCTTTGCTCCTGGGTCAACCCAGCCTGAAATATGCGCCAGGTAATTTCCTAGAAAGTAGAGGCAGCCGGTGTGATGTTGACTACATTGTCCGCCGAATGCCCGTTGGTTTTTAAAAATGTATGAGTCTGGCATCACATGCCTATTGCATCACTGGCATAAAGAGGATCCTTTACTTTTTGTCAACATTAAATATTTTTATAAACCGTATTTTAGATCTTCTCTTGAATCTCATATTTTCATGTTGGTTATGAAAAGGATTATTTCTTTAATTACGATAATTACTTTAATTATTAGTTAACTAAGAATATTTGTTGCAGTCATTAAATAGATATTATAAAAATGTTGCTTGCTCATTCCTCTTATGGCTATGTGGTTTTTTTGTGTGTGTAAATAAACTTACATCTTAATTTGCCCTAGACCTGTGATATGCCAGGTTGTCCAGGATTATTTACAAATGTGCTATATAACTGTGCAAATCTAAATCATACATCCATCAGGAGGCTGCAAAATCAGCATCTCTTCCTTTCAACAGCCCCAACAACTTTGATGAAGCTGGCATTTGTGTCACCCATTTTACCTTGCAAAATCACCTAATTCACAATTTAGGCATTCTCCACCTAAAGGAGTCAATATTATTTATAATCCTCTTCGTGTAACTTTAGTTCAACTCTGATTACACCTATCACTGACTACCTCTATCACATTGTTGTACCTCTTTCCCTTTTTTTCCTACAACTTTTATTTTTTTTTAATTATGTCTACACTGTAGTTAACAAGCCTTGCAAATTGTACTAGATACATCTGAAACTGACTAGAGAGCTAAATAAAGGAAATAAAAAAGATGTACACACATGCAGTGAAACATCACTCTACTCCATCTACAGCTTTTTAGTCACAGTTTGTGTTGTATTTAGTACTTCTTTATATCTGCTCTTGAACACATCATTATTTACAATTGTATTTTATTATAACTATATATTAGTTTGAATCATCCATAGCTTCTTCACAAATTGCTAGGCATGAAATATTTTATATTAGAAATAATACCTTTAATTTCATATGGCATAGGTTGTTTTTAAAACAAACCCTTGACACTTCTTAGGAGATCTGGAATTGTGCAGACAAGGTATAACATTGCGACTTGGACTCCAGCCTAGAGTGTTGCAAGATGACATGGTCTTCTTTGACTCATTCCCCATCAAAGTGTTTTATAAAAATGGCCGCTTGCATGGCCAGGTACAAACAGGAACACAAGTGTGGACAGTGGACACGCCAGATTTCCGAACCGGACAATGGCAGAGGGTCAGTGACTTTAATTTTTATTTGTTTTTTCCCCCCCAGTAAAATAAAGCCCCCCCCCCCTTCCCCAACCACCACCACCACCACTTTTTAAATTTTTAAAAAATTCTGTAGTAGCATGTTGAATTATCTAAATGTGACAAGTTTAAGTGACGGTCTATCACTATACAACTATTACACATCATTTATCTTTTCTTCTTCTTCTTTCTTCTTCTTCACTTCCTCTTTTACCGCTGTGGGTGTCGAGGGAGATATAAGGTTCTGTTTCTAGCTCTTCTGGCTGCCTCGACCATACGCACATCGTGCTGTTGTAGAGTTTCTCTGATGTTATCCTCCCATCTTGTTTTTGGTCTACCCCGTGCTCTACGTCCTTCTTCTCTTCCCATGTATGCTTTGTATGGTATGGTGTCACAAGGCATTCTCTCTAAGTGGGCAAACCATTTTACTTGCTGTCTTTGTATGTAATCCAGAATTGGTTCTGTGCCGACTTGTTCTCTTATGATCTCATTTCTGATCTTATCTCTTATGGTCACTCCTACAGCCCTTCTCAGACATCTCTTTTCCGTGGTTACTAATTTTCTTTTATGGTTTGTTGTGAGTGACCATGTCTGGCACTGGTAGCACAGAGTTGGAATAAATATGCTTTGAATAAGATGTCTCTTTGTGCTGACTGGGATTGTCTTATGCTGTAAGAGGGGGGCTAGCTGTCCCAATACTTGGTTTGCTTTACTGCATCTAATGTCAATTTCTTTATCCAATTTCCCATCTTCGATAAATGTAGTTCCCAGATATTTAAACTCAGATGCCTGTTTAATGCCTTTGTATTCTATTGTTATGTTTAGATCTGTCTTCTTTTTTCCTATTGACATTACTTCTGTCTTTCCAGTGTTGATTTTCATATTATTTCATTTATATCTCATTTATCTTTACCCTTGGAAAAAAGACAGATCTTAGTGAAATTCTATATCTTCATATTATAATACTTGCAATACAGGGAACTTGAATTTGTAATCCTAGAAGACATGTTGTTTCTGAGGAAAATGTAGAAGTTATATATATATATATATATATATATATATATATATATATATATATATATATATATATATATATATATATATATATATATATATATATATATATATATTTAAAAAAAGAAAAAAATTTAGCTACACACTTTGAGAGGCAAATGAAACCAAAAATGATTAGGAAATTAGACATACAGTCACAATTTTATAATGTTAGACGGTAAAATCAACTTAAAACTGATAAATGAAAATCTTGATTGCAAAAGCAACAAAGAAATAACTACATTCTAGAATAAATTGGACAGGAACACAGCTTATCTGAGACTAGTAGTCAAATGAAGTGATGAACTGTTTTCGCCTGTAATTATCATCATGGCACAGGATAATGTCAGAGAAGATGGCAGTATATTTGGCATGTCCTAAGGAAAAGTTGACAGAGAATGATCAAATAGGCACTGAAATGTGAAACGAGTGGATTTGAAGGAGCGCTGACATCCAAGAGAAATCCAGAAATAAATGTTAAGAGAGGCCAAAGGTGCTGAACTATGTTTCATCCCTGATAGAACAGAATAGAAGAATAGGCTGTGAGAGGTTTACACAGCACAACAAGATGTCTGTGATGTGATGACATGATAAGGGATTATTTAGTAGGATTATCATTATATTTCTCTTGCATACACTTGAGGTGTGTTTCTTGCTGCAGGTGGAACTGACTTGGACTCCACGAGAAGGTCTGCACATGTTTATTGACGGTCGTAAGGTGGACTACCAGACATACCCAGGAGTACAGTCATCTCGTTCACCTTCTGACTGGAGGACATTTTTTGGCCGATCTCTCCAGGTACCCATTATAAGATCTTTCTTTCATGTTCGGTAGCTGTATTTGTTTTTTACTAAATATCCTGGTTACTGTTTGTTAAAAAAAAAAAAATGGTACTCTACTCTGTTCTCCTTTACTCTTCTCTCTCTCTCTCTCTCTCTCTCTCTCTCTCTCTCTCTCTCTCTCTCTCTCTCTCTCTCTCTCTCTCTCTCTCTCTCTCTCTCTCTCTCTCTCTCACTCTCACTCTATCTTTTATTGTTTTTTTTTTAAACTTTGCTGTGTCTAACAAATTTTATTTCCTTCAGTCAGTTTTACTTTGTTCTACTCTATTCTTCTCTGCTCTGCTCTCTTGTCCTCCTCACTGATCATTTCTTCTCTGCTCTGTTATCTTTTGCTCAGCTATAAACCACTTTGCTCTAATATGATTTATTATCCCCTTTCTCTGAAACACTTTAAATTATGTTACATTATTTTACTTTAAATTGCATTGCTTTGCATTTTACATTACGTTTTACACTTTACATAATTTTGTCTTTAGTTTAATAAACTTTTTTTTTTTTAAATTTAACGTTATAGTTTTTGCTTTGCTCTCCACCTCATAGTATTACTTTGTTCTGTTTTACTTTACCGTCTTTATTGTGTATTTCTTTACTTTAATTTATTTTACACTGTATTCCTGTACTTTGCATAATTACTTTCTTAACTGAACATTAAAATAATACAATCTAGGAGTAAGAATTTACAAAATAATGTGAACTTTTTCAGTCCCAAGCAGCGTATGATGTATGATTAGCTATTCTGTGAATCCTGCCCTGTGTGTTCTCATATATTTCATTTTTACATGTGACCATAGCAAACTAATTAAATCTGCCCCTCCTGGCAATTAATATCTTGTAAAGCATTCATGATTTGTTTTTTTACATAGTGGTTACTGATGTCTTTTGCTATCTCGTGTGAAACCTTTTGGTACTGAAAGATCTATAGCAGCATAACATGGATCTGTATGGTAAAGTGATCAAGCTGTTTATTTCATGCTCTGGAGATTGTAGATACAATTCATGGACTGTACTTTTGTGTTCACAAATGCAACTTTCATGGGGATTCCTCTAAATTGTCACTGGTTCTGTGCAGTCCATGCTTTTCTTTTACGTTCTTGGCATGTGGCTATTGGCTATTTTTTTTTTACAGAGATAGACTGTGCCATCTGGGATAAAAACTTTCTCTAATCCTCTTTTAACATTTAAACAGGACTTAAGATGACATAATTTTCTTTGTTCCCAGAATGGGAAAAGCTATGCCAACACAGCTGTGGACAGTATAGAGTTCTGGCCAGCTCACAGAGACAATCTACCTGAAGACGGTTACCTAAACATTGCCCCTTACGTTACACCCAGACCAGCCACACCTGCCCCTGAAGTCATCATTGGGGGTGAGTCTTCTTTATCTTCTGTGTAAACAGCATAAAGGGATATGTGGTTGAGAGGTTACTGTGTCTCTCTCTGGCTTAGAAAGTCTCAGGGTCGAAACCAAGTTCTAGGGAAGGCTATTTCAGACAAAACCTGGCTAAAGAAGTTGCATATTTCAGTGGAAAGGCACAATTATTTCTGCTGTGCTTTAAACAGACACAATGTAATTATATCTTTGGTTGAAAGGATAATAAGAAGGATTCATAGAGCTGAACATTTTTTTTTAACTAGAAGTATTAGTAGCAAATAAATATTTTCCTGATCTCTTGGTAAATAAGACTGAATAAGATCTCTTCTTATATAAAGATGAAAAACAAAAGTACTTATGGGGAAATTATGTATGTTATAGATCTCATGGGGATCGAACACAGTGAAGAAAAGACAGTAAGGGCCATGGTAGAAAAACTGTAGGAATTAAACCTATCCATAAGTAAATAGAACCTGTCATCTGAGATTGAATTTAAGAATCAGTCTAAGAACAGTAAGGAGAGAAAACCAATCTATGAATAGACAGAACTTATAATGTAGAGGAAATCTGCCAAATCTCTCTAAGAAAATTGTTAGAAAAGGAAATCTGCCATATGTCAATGACTATGATCCATGATACCATAGTTAGAACCATATGTAGGGAAGCAAAATGGAGCTCTTATGGGTTACTACCCTTGTGCCGTGATGTTGAGTTGTATAAACCATAATTATAACATGTAGGGAATCTGTTTGAAAATCTTTTCAAGAATATTGCTAGGAGAGAATACCTACCAATAAACAGAAATAATCGTATTGGCCTGGAATGGTAATAAAATAAGAAGAAAATTAAGAAGCAGCAGCAGAAAAAGAAGAGGATGAAGAAGAAGAGGAGGAGGAGGAGGAGAAGAAGAAGAAGAAGAGGAGGAGGAGGAGAAGAAGAAAAAGAAGAAGAAGAAGAAGAAGAAGAAGAAGAAGAAGAAGAAGAAGAAGAAGAAGAAGAAGAAAAAGAAGAAGAAGAAGAAAAAGGAGGAGGAAAAAAAAGAAAATGCTGGATGTCTGATAGACTGACACAAAGGCCTTCAGCTTTTAAACTTACCAAGAACTAGAAAAACGTGACTGTCACTTCTATTTAGCATGGTTCATGAGGAGGTTGTTGAAGAAATGTAGACTTTTTGCAGATATAATAATCTTTTAATACATTTATATTTATACACTCCAAAGGGAGAACCACAGTAGCCCAGACAAGACAAGTGAAAATTATCAACTTCAATGGTGATAACTACGTCCAGTTTAACCTTGAGAACTTGCCTGCTGAATACCTCCAGCCTGCTGACATCGAGGAGTTCCAGTTCTACTTTCTGTCTAATCAGCCTAATGGCCTCATCTGGCTTCATCAAGGTCGGACCCGCAAAATGTATTTGGCTATGAAGGTACAGTCATTTTGGTATTAAGTATTGTTGGGGGGTTTTCATTTTGTGTGTGAATTCAAACTTTGGGCAATTATTTGTCATGTATAGAGTTTCTGTGCAGCTGTGTTTCTTAGAGGCGGTTTGAGGTGGATGGGGGCTGACTAAAGTACAGAGAAATGAGCAGGTTGATAGGCTGGCAGATAAGGCAGGCTACTGTGAAGGACGGATGAGCCATGGGCCAGGCTGATATACTGATTGCTCTACAAGAAGTAAGACATTTGTAAGAACCAGTAATTGTGGATCTGCAGCCAAGACAAGACCTGCAAGAACAGCAAGTTAAAAGGGATGTGGCCAGATAAGAGCACAGTGCAGGAAGCCAAAGAAGAATAAAAAAAACCAACATAGTACCGGTCTTATCAGCCGCTGCACACTGCAGTTAAATAAATTAATTTTATTATGTGATGAATATGTATATTGTTGATTACAGTGATAAATGGAGCCATGATTTTGTATAGTGCAGGACAAGTCAACTGGCTGACGTGAAGAAGCCTAGCAAATGACCCACGGAATACTGTCAGTTGTATTGAATAAATGATCTTTCTAACCCACATTGGCTTAGAAATAAAGGAAGACCAAATAACACCTGGAGGGAGCTAGAGGGTGAAGTTAAAAAGATACGGAGGACATCGAGACAGCTGCATGTGATAGCGAAGGATAGAATGAGTTCGTTGTTGAGGGCATATTCTCTATTGGGGGTGGGAGTTGCCGCGGCAGAGCGACTAGATGCACGCCGCGGATCGGAAGGTCGTGGCGGAGCCGGACTTAAAAAAAAAATGACCTTGGCTCCCAGGTCGACCCAGCCTTGAGTGGGTACTGGGTGCAGTCCCAGGAAGTAATGGCGGCCGGCGTGATGCTGACCAGATCACCCATCTTGTGCCGACTGGTCTATAAAATATAGGTCTAGCCCTACATGCCCTATACGCCTAAAGGTGTGGAAAAGGGTACTTTACTTTACTTTTACTTACTATTGGGGGTTAGAAAGGCAGAAGAAGAATGATCTTTCTATCCTGGGGCTTAGTCTCTAACTCGTGATGACCCACAGTTTCAAAATGTTGGCCCCTGTGTAAGCTTAGTTGAATAGTTTTTATATAGTGGCCAATGTGCTCACAACTTCACACCCTAATGGCATAAATACAGTTTGGCTACCTTTGATCAGTGAAAGTCTTCTTTGTCTTTAGTAAGACATTCGGTGCATTCATTTTTATTCACCCCAAACAGACAGTCCAATATTTCAGGCGGGGGGGGGGGGGGGGGGGGTGGTAGATAGGCTGTATGCAGTCATGGGACCTAGGCTGCACTCTCTCATGGGATGTAGGTGGGTTGGGGTTAGGTCCAGTTCTAGGTGTTTTGGGGTAGATAAATGCACCACACAGTCGAGAAACCTGGTCTTACCACCCTATAAAATATTGGATTGTCCCCGTGATGTCATCTTGGGTGACTTATTACGAAAGAACCAAACATTCACATTGTCAAATATGCCATTTCTGCACTTACTATTTTTTCTTTTAACCAGGATGGCCGATTAATATTTGTCAATGATGAAGGATCTAGAACACCGGATAAAATTGAGTTTGGCAAATATAATGGGGCCCGCTTTAATGACGGAAGGTGGCATTTGTTTAAGATCAACCGCCAGGGAAGAAAGGTAAGTGTACAGGTACTAGTGCAAGGTTGTCTGACATACATTGTTTGATGGTAGTATGCTCTGACAGGCCGACAAATAGAGCACTGCTTTTCTAATCTGGCATCTTCAGCAGCCTGCTTTGTTCCAGATGTATTGATGTTACCTTTCCTTTGGAGTAAACAAGGCAGGCTGAAAGAGGGATCATGCTGCATGGGCAACATATGATCTCTACAATACTGTCCAGGCTTTGTGCTATGGAGAGGATGAGCCATGAGCTGTGAGTCCCTGTCATGGGCTGTGAGTCTTGTCCTTCATATAACAGTAACATCTGGAAAGACAGAAAGGTGCCAATAAGTATGCAGATCAGTGTAGAGATCAAATGTTAATTGGGTGGAGTAGCTAACCTCAAGACATATCCTATGCTTAGCTGTCTTTCATGGCATGCTTCAAACATTAATTTTGTCAATAAGTCTTAAGTTTGCATATAGGCTGGCATGTCTCTTCAAACATTAATTTTTTCAATAATTCTTATTTGCATATAGGCTGGCATGTCTCTTTAAACATTAATTTTGTGAATAAGTCTTGTTTGCATATAAGCTGGCATGTCTCTTTAAACATTAATTTTGTGAATAAGTCTTGTTTGCATATAGGCTGGCATGTCTCTTTAAACATTAATTGTGTCAATAAGTCTTGTTTGCAAATAGGCTGGCATGTCTCCTCAAACATGAATATTGTCAATAAGTCTTAAGTTTTTTTAAGGCCGGAATGTCTCTTTTGGAGTCTGTGTGTGCAGTTGCTAGTTTGTTTTCCCTGCTGCTTTCATTGTCGATGAATTATGATGAAACCTGATCATTTTCCTCCACTGTTGCCTATTCTTAGCCTCTTTTTTCAGCTCGGGATAAGTCTGTGCCCCAACATCCTTGCATGCTTATATGTGACATAGTGTTTTCTAGGTATCGTTAAAAAACAATCAAGGACCCAATTCGTGCTACTGAATCATCGGACACATGGTTCAAAACTCCATTTTTAAAACTAATTGGCTCTTGATTATTTGTGTAGTCAACATTATCTCAGCCGCATTTATATCCCAGGAAATTTCTGCTACCCATTTTAGGCTGGGTTGATCTGAAAGCTTTAAGTTAATTATGAAAAAATCCACATGGTTGTAGAATTGAACCCAAGACCTTTGGACCAGCAACCAGCTTTTAGTTATCATCTATCTCTAAATCTTATACATGTCACTGTTGACACAAAAGTCATTCACAAGTGGTCTCCATTGCTGCCGGTCTGCTACTTTTCTGCCTCTTCTGTCCATGGTTTCCCATGTCATTATGCATTCCCTCATTTTCCTCTCTACTGACCTTCTCCAAGTTTTCTTAGGTCTTCCACATTTCTTTTTTTCTTCATCAGGCATCTGTCCTTGCAAAAGTCTCACAGGGTTTTCTGCAAACATGTTCAAGCCATCTATATCGATAACATTTTGGCATCTTAGTAATCAATTAATCTGCCCCAATATGGGACACACATTTTTGTTTATTTTGAAGACCTACCCCAGCTGTTGTCAGGGGCCCTAATATAACCTAACAGTTGAGTGGGGGTTTCTGGGACTTGTGCCCAGGTGATTCTCATCTGAAGGGTGGCCTTTTGGCCACTGGGTATTTATCGCTCATTGTGCAGTCCTGGTAGGTTTGAAATACTATCTTTATTGTGTCAGTACAGTTTAATCAAATTGTCATTGAAATTTTCTTTGAAATTCTTGCAGATAAGTCTAAGTGTTGATGATCGACACCAAGAGGAGTATACCTTTCCAAGAGATGTTCAGTTCCTGGCTCCGGGCGAGGTTTTCCTCGGCGGCAGCTTGAACAGTCCTGCTGCTACAGGAGATTTGGCTGTTCCAAACTTTAATGGGGGGATGGCTTTGGTAATAATATTTACCTGTCTTGTCAGGTGCCATATTACAGAGTTACATCACTGAAGCATACAAATTAATCATCTTCATTGAAGTACACATTGTCTGTAGTTTCTCTGTACATCTGATAATGAGAAATTCAAAATGTATCACCTGGCATGTAACTGCATATATTATTAACTTCTGGTCACCAGTTCATAACTTATCAGGCCATATAAGATTTAACAACTTGATTCAATGGAGTCATCATAGTCCTATAACCAGTTAGTCATTGGGTCATCAGTTGCTCCAGGTTTTCCCACCTGGCTTAGTCTGTCTGTCTCCCTCAAAATGTCAAATGTGTTGCACAGAGCATGAACTCCACAGCTCTGGTGATGATCCCCATGGATCTCCATTGCTTTTGTGAATGAAATGACACTTCCATGAAACGAACCTACGACCTCAAACTAATGATGATTACCTAAAAAAAAAGAAAATAAGAGTAGAAGATTATGATCAACTGTAAGAAAAAAATCTGCATCATCTGGACTTTATCCTGACAATGGGGAAAACCAGCTGTAGAAGAACAAAGGCAGTCCAAAATAAATTATGTCTCATAATGTAAGACAGCATGGAGTAATATCATCACCACTAGAGGTGATGCAGGACACCAGGATCCTAAATCCATGGAGAAGCCTGAACAACTACAGAATTTGGGAATGTACATGATAATATTTTTGTGTTAAATGCTGATGAAGATCTTATTACTGCAATGTTCATTTTGTCATTCATGATTGTATTTTACTGAGAAATTGACTAGTTCTACTTGTCCTTTAGACTGATTTAAAAAAAAAAATGAAAATGATGATGAGTTCCTAAATGCAGAGAATTCAGTGGAATGGCATGAAATAATCAAGGCAGTTTTTCTGATTTTTGTTACAGAAAATTTTTGGAACTTATCTTTTAATAGAACCATATTTTATTTGCTTTTCAATGGAATGGTAACGTCTTGAAATATTAGCTAGAAATGTACAAGGATTTAACATAAACATCAGAAAGAGGCAGTGATAATGGTTTTTGGCTTCATTTTGAGAAAAGAAAAGCAGAAGAAACATTGTGACAACCAGACAGATTTTACAAAAAGACATAGAGAGGAAGACAGTGAGAGAACTTTCTTCACAGCCTTTATCATGTTTTGAAAAAGTAGAAGCCATGAATGATACACACAGTTGGAGATTACATATGCTGAGAACCATAACCATGATTGCACTTGATGCTGACAATTAGACAGAAAGATATTTCAAATTTGGATTTGTCTTTTTAATTCCTAATTTCATACGCAGGTTTTGTACAAGTCTGAGACCAAACAAGGTACCAGGCACTTCAAAAATGAAGTCAACCTAATCGCTGAACTAGGTGACAACCATATCAACATCCTCACAACTGATTGGCCAATTGGCACGATACCTGTATACCCAGTAACTCCGGCCACAGTACCCCCTCCCCCTCAGCTGACATCCATAACCATCCGAGAGGAAGGTGTTCATTTGACAGTGCCTGAGGTGAGCACCATATGTCGCAGTAACTGTGTTTTGTTGTATGTCTATCCTTTTCTTCTTTTAATAGCCCATGTCATGGGGCATTGGTATTCATTGTCTACCCACAAACTTTTGTCTCATGTACTTTTTGTAAGTTCACACTGTGTCCCTTATATTCTCTCTTGGTCTTCCTCTGCCTCTTTTCCCCTCCAAACTTGCATACAGTTATGATGTACTCCAGTTTTTCCCCTTCTCATCACAAGACCTAAAATTGTCAGTTGTTACCTTCTTATGTGGGTAGTAGTTGGCTTAGGCATTGCGAACACACTTTATAATGCTAGGATGCTGTGTTTGATCTCAACTGCAGGCGCTTTGGCAGCATACCATCTTGCATTAGTTTCGACAGTGGTACCGAGAGTCGACAAGAGTTCAGAAAGCAATGGGTGTGTGTGCATGTTTTTCCCTGGCGAATATATATATTTTTATTTGGTATTTACTAGTGAATTTAGTTTACCTTATATTATCTTGTCTATTAGGAGAAGCAAAGAATAGTATCATTGTACTCTACCAAGCATGTTGTAAGAAGTTACTTTTTCAGTTATTTTTGTGTGTGTGTATGTGTGTTCACCAGCTGTAAACTCTGGCAAAAAGTTCTGGTTTTTCGTCCATTTGCTGACTTTAGACTTGTATCAGAACTGAGTTTTGCATGCATATCCATTTTACACATCTGGTATAATTATAGGCAGACTTTGCTAATTACCTCTCAGGCAGTTGCACTCTGACTTGGAGGGAAACTCCCCAAATTAGTCACCTCTGACTTGGAGGGAAACTCCCCAAATTAGTCACCTCTGACTTGGAGGGAAACTCCCCAAATTAGTCACCTTTGACTTGGAGGGGAAACTCCCCGAATTAGTCACCTCTGACTTGGAGGGAAACTCCCCAAATTAGTCACCTCTGACTTGGAGGGAAACTCCCCAAATTAGTCACCTCTGACTTGGAGGGAAACTCCCCAAATTAGTCACCTCTGACTTGGAAGGAAACTCCCCATATTAGTCACCTTTTATGACATGCTTGTTAAGGGGCAGTGAGTACCCCCCCCCCCCCCTCTCAACAACCCAGCCCTTCCCTCCCTAAAATCCCAGCTCCTCTTTCCCCAAATAGGGCCCCAGAATCCACCTGAGGAATGAGAGGTTACTAAGATGGGTGTTTTGGGTTGTCTACTCCGTTCTTTGAAAAGCTTTAGCTGCGAGTGCTAACCACCTATGAACAGGTCTGATAAGAGCAGTTTGGTTTGAGTTGGTTAAGCCCATGCTGCAATGGTTAATAGAAATCAGATGAAGGAGTTGTTACGATGGTTTGGTTTTAAAATAAGATTATCCTGAGATCTCATAAAGAGTGCTAGCACTTAGATACAATGCAGACAGAGTAGGAAGTAATCCCTCACACACACAAAATAAAATAAAGATGGTTTTAATATCAAAGGCTTTAAATACTACTATGGATTATGGATCAAATATCTAGGGCTATGAATACCACCATGGATGAAGTACACACAAGAGCTCTCTCTCTCTCCTATACATTATTCTCAACCTGAAATTGAAAAGCAGAACAGAGATAGGGGAAATATGGTCTTTCAGCGTGTAATGATTCATTGGGTATGTCCAGGTTCAGAGTGTCATGTTTCAGCTTTGCATTTATGGGCGCCTCCTTGGATGGTGGGGAATGCCAGTGATCTGCCCCTGACTTCTCTTGAGGGCCAGCCAGTATGCATCTGTTAGCCTTGAATGTATTCTTCAAAGTCAACACCTGTAGACGGAGAGACATAGAGGGTATCACACAAATGAGGCAACATCATGTCTCAAGAAACCAGCCAGGAAAGCAAGCCCGGTGAACAAATGCTCGATTAAGTCAGATGTATCTGCTGAAAGGGGCGAATATTGCAGCTATGCTGTAAGCAGGCACAGTGCAATTACGTCACTCGGACGACAAGCAGAAGAGGTAGAGGTCTTTTAGCCAGTTGAACAAGAAGAAGCTTTTCTTTTTCCATTGAGCACCATTAAAATATTTATTACATACCAATGCTCATCCATCCATCCATCCATCCATCCATCCATCCATCCATCCATCCATCCATCCATCCATCCATCCATCCATCCATCCATCCATCCATCCATCCATCCATCCATCCATCCATCCATCCATCCATCCATCCATCCATCCATCCATCCATCCCTCCATTCATCCATCCATCAATCCATCTATCTATCCATCCATCCATCCTTGCATACATATATTCATATTTGCATGCATACCTAAATGAATTACATACACATGCATAAATATACACACTTATTTGTACACACATACTGAACCACACACACATAGACACATATAGAAACACATACATACACAGAGTGTACAGTCAGAGTGAGAATGTTAAAAATTCATTGCAGTTAACCTTCATTATGGAGAAGGCACTTAGCAGATTGATTGATTGATTAGATTGATTGATTGTACATTAAGCTTTATTTTTAACACCAAAGAGTAACTCAATGAAAGTGTTTTACTTGGGAAAACACAAAAGCAAGAAACACTACTGTGTAGTGGTTATACTATATGTAAGCAAAGCAGGCTTATGATAATGTTTTGTTTTGTTTCAGGTGGTTTTAAGGTTTTCGAAAGACCATATGACACTTCATTTGGATGGGCAGTCAAGAAGAATGAAATTGGATACTGGAGAAGAACTGCCACGAAGTTTAGGTAATAATGAGTTCTTCTTCTGCTGGGTTGTACTCTGTGGGGGCTCCGTGGGCTAGCCATTTGCCTTGGACTCTTTAGGTCATTTGTTTATTTATCTGACACTTCAATCAGTTCACAAGTGCAGTTTTTACAGAAATCCCGAGGGATTGTTGCTAGAGCCACAGAGTTTATACTTTATGTGACACTCTCGGGAGGTGAGTAGCCATTCTTTGGAACGCGACTGAGCCATATGGGTTAAAACTGAGTCCAATGGAGTTGATCCTCCTGGCCACATAATTAACATAGCATTCTAATTCTTTATATATCAAATAGTTGAATGTTACTCTAATTTTCTGAAATGGCCACTAAAAGTCATGCTTGTTCTCTTTTGTGTAAACAAAAGGACATGGTTGTGAACTTGTGTTCACTCTAGTAAAATAGGCAGTTGCATCTGAGTATTGTGGATATTTGTACAATGATTATGTCAGTAGTTTTTACAGCATTGAGGTTTCATGGCACCACCTAATTTTCTGTAATTCTCATTTAGTTCCCTTGTATATTGGTGGCCACCCTGCCTACGAGAGTTTACCCTGGCATACATGGGCACGTAATGGTTACCAAGGATGTCTTGAAGACCTCCAGATCAATGGCCGGGTGATTGACCTACATCAACTTGTGCAGTCACAGGTAGGAGTTTTATTGATTTGTAGCTGGGTTAGTCAGTGTCTGTGGCTTAGATGTTGTGAACAGGCTTCATAAGTCCGGGTTTAATCTCAGCTGCAGGTGATTTGGCAGCAAACTGCCTTGCACCGGTTTTGACAGTAATATTGAGAGTCGACTGTTCAGTATGCAGTGGCAAACTACTGAGTGTAAATTGTCTAGTGAATTCACAAACAGCCAAAAAATGGTGAGGTTGGTTCTGCAATGTCCTGTAAAGGATATGCAGTTAATGTTGTAGTTATTCTCTATGAAGTGTTACTTTGGAGTCCTACTTTAGCTAATTCAGTATTATATATATCTTGCTTTTATTTTTCACAGTCAGCATCTGTGGCTTAAGGGTTGTTAACCCACTTTAATAATCTTGATATATTAGTGACTATTTTGGGGACAGTGTCCATGTTTGACATTTAAAAAAATTCACTACATTATGCTTATAATAGAATATTTAAAATGAATTGACGTCTTGTTTTTGCTAAGATTTGTTTGTATGTCTCTAGCTGCTGTATGGACGAGTTGATCGACAGTGCACTTCCATGCCGCAACAGTGCTTCCTCCAACCCCGATGTACCCCTGGATACTGCATCAATAAATGGGGAGGCTACTACTGTGATTGTAGGGCTACAGACTTTGCTGGAGATCAGTGTCAGATTCGTAAGTGGTTTTTACTGTTGTTAGTGTGCAAGTTTGGGTGTCAACAAGGATGAAGAAAACCCAAGAACCAGCTTCGCCCAGCACAAAGCTACCCATTAGTGATAGAGATGAAGAGGAGAGAAAGAAGTTGAGAAAATAAGGTAGAGAGAATGAGAGAGAGAGGGAGAGAGGCAGATAATTAAATAGAAAGAGTTAGAGAATGAAATTGGGATAATGTGTGTGAGAGAGAGAGAGAGAGAGAGAATGAGACAGACAGACAGACAGAGGAAGAGCTAAAGAAAGAGATAAAGGGGTAAAAAGAAGAGAATAGAATTTCTAGGGATCATGTAACATGGAAGTTACAGTCAACTGTTTCAAATGTTACATCTTGCCTGCTGGTAGATGCTTCTGTCAGTTTATAAAGACAATAATTGTATTGTTATTCAAGGTATTATACTGAAGTTGTCCCCATGTGGGATGCAATTTTTTGTTATTTGAAGCCCCACCCTGGGTTTTGTCAGGGGCCCTAAATATAGCTGGGCCATGAATATGGCCTAAACGGCTGAACAGGGTTTCTCTACGGCTGATCCTCATCTGCATGGTGGCACTTTGTGTCACCAGATGTTTATCACTCTGTGTGATGTCCTAGTGGGGTAAAATTACTTACTTACTTGTTATCCAAGCAGACAATAATTGTGTTTTTCAAATCCACCATTTCCAGCTGCCTGGACCGGTGTCTTCAATGGTAGTTCATATTACAAGATGACTTTTCAACCACAGAGAAAATACCACGTCAATAATATGTCCTTCCGCTTCAAAACAATGGTCAGTGATGGACTCATCTTCCAGACCAAAGCCAGAAATAATGATGGCTTTATTAGATCTGAATTGGAGGGAGGCCGAATGAAGATTTCAACCAATCTAGGAGGGAAAAATCAAGTAAGTATTAAAAAGTTTTGAACTGCTTTTCCCTGAAGCCAGAACCTACACAGTTATAGTGTGTATAATGAGTTACTTGCTTGTGACTTCCACTGTAGGTTCATTTGTTAGAATTGTCTCCACTTGGAGTAGGTTCAATTGTTAGAATTGTCTCCACTTGGAGTAGGTTCATTTGTTATTATTGTCTCCACTTGGAGCAAGCACTCTTTGGCGGTTATCAGGTATTTTAATCCTTGATTTATGTGTTCTTATCTCCCACCACCTAATGTGCGCTTGACACCAATTACATTGGATCTTTATTCATAACTTTCTCGCCTAATGACAGTTCTTAAATAAGAATTTTTCTAATTTGTTGCTGATACCCAACTCAGTAAATATGTTGCTGCATCTGTGACAATTATGCTCTCACATTTCATTTATGTATGGTGGGATTATCATCACCTTGGGAACATCCAGCTAAATCTCCTGGTATTAAAGGAGCAGGTTTCTTCTTAATTAGGTGACTCCAGTATCATCTGAAGCTGATAAAACTGTGTTGCTGTTAAAAATGTATGTTTTCAGTGATAATATCTTCAGTTTTCCGTCACACTTTCAGCAATTTCTTTTTAATTTATTTTAGTAAGATCATGCATTAATTGTACTGTTATTTCCCCTGAAATTGTAATTTTTGTTCTCATTTTGTATACTGTTGCAGACTTTTTACACTGGGAAAAATCTTAATGACATGCAGTGGCATACTGTTTACATACAGCGCCGTGGCAACCAGATGACTGTGTGGGTTGATGACGAGGACCAGGAGACTGGTATGATTAGTGTTGCTTGCAGTAAATGTTGCTAGCCTGATATCATTTGTGTTTTTTTAAATATTTGTTCTGATTACTTTATGATTACCCTTTTGCCGCAGAAATGGGAGGGGGCTGGGGATGAACCTGGGAATTTCAGAAAAAAAAAATTCTTAGAAAGAAGAACGATTTTACACAGGTCACTAATAAATTGCTTGAAATTTTTTTATACATTTAAAACATTTTTAAAAATAATTGCATGAAGGGGAGTAATCAATGAACATTAACAAAGCGGAAAATTAAATGATTCACCTGGTCTTTGACGTAAACAATATTTATACAGACTTATACTATGACACTAAAACTGTGTGATTACCTAAGCCTAACGGCAATGACGTCATCATAATGTCTATAAATGTGTTACATATAAATCAACCTTTAAAAAAAAAATTACCAGTTGATTTCTTGAGACTATCAAAAGAAAATTGTAAATATACCTATAGCTAGTTTCTTTTTGTTTTTTTTCTTTCTGGTTTTTGCAGTGGATCATGTATTCATTAATTAGAGTCCCTTTTGTGGGTTCTGAGGCCCCATTGAGGGGAGGGGAGTGGGAGAAGTGACACACACTGCCTTCCTAACAAGTAAGAGATGCTAATTAATGGTGTTTCTTTGGAAGTTGAAGTGTATCTGCCTGAGAACAACAGTCTGCATACAAATAAGCCAGTTCTGTTAAAACAGATATGCATGCAAGCTCATGTTCTGAAACCAGCCACGTCCAGAAGAGGACAAACAATTAGAGCCTTCTGCCAGAATTTACAGCCAGTGAGCAAGAAGAATAAAGACTAAGAATCATTTGGAGTTCTTTGCTGTTTTTCCCACTACATTTGAGTTTGGCTAACTGCATATTTCCTCCATTTATTTTCCCAACAGTAACCCTTCCTGGCGATGGCTATCATTTGTTGGTGGATGATATTTTCATTGGAGGATATAAAAAAGGTGACCTAGACATTCCACCATCGACAAAACCATTTATTGGATACCTTCGCAATTTCTATATGGGCGACGACGACATCTTCCAACGTGTTGGCGCTGATAACAGTGAGATTTTTTACCAGGAGAACAATATTCCACCGCTGGTTTTCAATGATGTCACATTTCCTAACTACGATTCACACGCAGTGCTACCTGCCCTTGGGTCTGCATCAGGTTTGAGTATCTACTTCCTGTTGAAGACACTTGACCCCAATGGCGTGATTGTGTTCAGTGAGGGAAGAAATAAAGAACTGTTTGCTGTGGAATTGTTTGAAGGGAGGCTTCATTTGAAAGTAAGACAGTAATTGTTTGTATTCAGAAGTAATATCTTTAACCCACTGACTACCAAGCCCATTAACCCTTGCATTTCCCCAGATACCACATATTTTAGTGTTTACTAAAAATGCCATAGCTTCACAACTATTTGATATACTTTACTTACTTTTACTTTTTCCTTCCACGTATGCCGCTAAGCGTTGTGGGGAGATGCAAGTTCCTGTCGTAAGCAAGGCGGGCAGCATCTGATGTTCTGAGGCCATGCTTTTGGCAGGTTTCGGAGACCCTGTCAATCCACCGTTTCCTTGGTCTTCCTCTTGCCTTATATCCTGAGCTTCTTTGGTTGAAAATTTGCGATGTTATTTGATCATTATTCATCCTGGTTAGATGTCCAAACCATTTCATTCTTTGATGTTCTATGTAGTCTAAACATGGTGTAGTTTTGACAGTGTTTCTAATGTCTATATTCTTTATCCTGTCTAGTCTGGTCTTATTCGCTGCTTTTCTTAAACATTTCATTTCACAGGCTTCTATTTTTCTTTCGTGGGTCTTGTTGATTGTCCCTGTCTGGCACTGGTAGCAGAGTGTTGGAATGAAGATGGTGTTTATCAATTGTCTTTTGGTCTTCATGGTTATATTTGGATGTTTAAGCAGAGGTGATAGTTGGTATGTGACAGCATTTGCTTTCTGTATTCTTGTTTCTATCTCTCTGTCCATTCTTCCATCCTCTGTAAATATACTGCCAAGTATTTGAACTCTTTGGTTTGCTTGATTTTGGCACTTCCAACATTTATATTCAGTGGCCTGTGTGTTCTGCTGATCTTCATAACTTCTGTTTTTTCTGTACTGATTCTCATATTATTATTATTATTTGATATAATCTCACTATATTTTGTATTTTTGCACCAAACTGAATGAAGAACAGATTTCAAGAAAAAAAAGTTGTTTATTTTGTTTTGCATCATCATCATGTGGCTGTAGATTGGTGCAAAAAAGGCAACCGGAAAATCTTTTATATGACAACAATAAAGATAAATAAAAATGTCTTATTTTCAAAAAATATTTAACAAAATGTATAATATTTTGTATTTTTGCACAAAATTAAACCAAGAACACATTTAAAGAAAAAAACAATAAGGTTTACTCTGACATAGTCATCATCATCATGTGGCTGTAGATTGTTGCAAAAAAGGCAACTGAAAATCATTTATCTGACAACAATAAAGACTGATAGTGATGATTTTTTTCCACAAATTTTCAACAAACATATATAATATTTTGTATTTTCGCAGAAAATTTAACCGAGAACAATGTGAAGACAAAAAATGGGGTTTACTTTGTCTGACATAATCATCATCATCATGTGGCTGCAGATTGTTGTAAAAAAGGCGACTGAAAAATCCTTTGTCTGACAATAATTCAGACTCCCAAAAAATGTCACAGCTTCACAACTGTTCAATACTACTTATCCTATCTGATATTGTTTGCACAAAATTAAATAGATAACAAATATCAAGACAAATGTAGATTTACTGTTTTATATCATCATCATGTGGCTGTAGATATGGTGCAAAAAAGGCAACTGAAAAATCATTTGTCTGACAATAATTCAGACTCCCAAAAAATGTCACAGCTTCACAACTGTTCAATATCACTTATCCTATCTGATATTGTTTGCACAAAATTAAAAAGATAACAAATATCAAGACAAATATAGATTTACTTTTTTATATCATCATCATGTGGCTGTAGTTATGGTGCTAAAAAGGCAACAGAAAAATATGTTATCTGACAGCAATATATAGAAAACGCCCCCGTGACATGATGGTGGCAGCAAATGATGAGTGGAGAGATGGATATAAACTCTGGTAGTCTGAAATAGCTTTTTCACAACACATGTGACACAACAGTACAAGAAACCCTGTCACTTCATTAGGGGTTGTGTATTTCCAGTTCCAGCACTAATCTTTATCTCAGCATAACGGTTTGTTTCTTTAGCAAACACAGCAAGTATGTCTTTACTGAAAAAAATATCCAGTGGTTCATTTGTTCCTTCTGGCAGAAATAAACCAGAAGTGCCAGTAAATGGGGGTACTCCAGGAAAGCCTTCTAAATCACAATGCCAGTCATCAACCATTTGGGGGCGTGGCACATCTTCTCCGGACTCGTTAGATGTTGATGATTCTGAATCATAAGCGGCAATGATATTTTCGTCATGTGCAGACTCAAGCACAAAATCTTTATAATCTGTGGGCTTTGACTGAATACTCTTACAAGAACTATCAGCATCCTAACCTGCGGCACCAGTACTTGCAGCCGACAACACTGTGACTGTCTTTGTCAGACTTGACTTCGAAGCGTCATACTGTCGTTTTACAGTCGACGATGTTTTGAATGGCACTTTGTTAAATTTATTATAGTCATAGCCATCAAACTGTTCAGAAGTGTCTTCAAATGCACTTTTTGAAGCAAAATCAAGAAAATCGAATGCATCATTAGAAACATTAGAAGAGATATGGCCACCACGATGGTTCCGATAATTTGACGCCATGATGAATTTTCGTAGTTAATCTCATACGTCCTTTTTAGGACGTAATTTTTCGTTATTTGAAGCCCCACTCTGGCTTTTGCCAGGGGCCGCAATATAGGCAGGCCATAATAGGTGGCGGATGTCCAAATGTCCTGAACGCGGTTTCTGGGACCTCTCCACGGCGACCCTCATCCGCATGGTGGCACTTTGTGTCATCGGGTGTTTATCGCTTGTGTGATGTCCTGGTGGGGTAGAAAGTCATTCATTCATTCATGATGAATTTTTCGTCAATGTCTCACCGTCATGGGAGCTAACTAAAAAAATTCGTAAAATATTTACTTCAAGCACTACGGAGTTATTTCCCTTAATTAACCATACAGAAATGAATAAGCTCGAGGTTTCAACTAAATCCATCATAAAAATCGCGATTTTAACATGACGGCGAGCGTCCAAAGCTAAAATCGCAAAGGGTGTGACGTTGGCAGATGGAAGTAAACGTCGCCTTGTCGCATTACGTGCGACGCTGGTAGTCAGTGGGTTAATGGTTCTTTTTTCTAAACGAGGATATCCATGCTGGAGATATCAGGAATTAATTGCTTTCACACACATATAAAATAGTTTCATATGTTCAGCTGTATCTGATTCCCAAAACAGATGCTTTTCTTCAATTTCTCTTCCTCCATTGACTTCATCAAAGTTTTATGAACAATGTAAGGATCTGTGTGCTATTTCTAATGCATTTTTTAGTTTATCTTTATTTCCTTAACTCTTTCGGTAGCATGCAACTCACTATACTTCAATTAGATAAGTTAGTTGCATATCCTTTACAGAACGTTGCAGAACCAACCGTAGTATTTTTTTAAATGGCTGTTGTGGTTTTTTTTAGGCATATTTTACGCTCAGTAGTTTGCCACTGCTTCCTGAATGGTCAGCTATTGGTATCACTGTCGAAACCAACGCAAGACAAATCATCCTCAGCTGGGATCGAACACAGCACCCTGGCATTACAAAGCGGGTTCGCAACGTCCAAGCCACATACATGATTAGACAGTCCACAGTTTGCCCACTGATGACTCCTCTTTTTACTTCTTCTGTCTCACACAGTTGAATTTCCAGTGGAGAGATGTACAGCCCAGGAAAATGATTCATTTTTTTTCCATCATTCTATGTTGGCTCTGTAGTAATGCACCTGACGAGATACAGCGGAATATGTCAGGCAATAGAGTGTGTAGTGCATTGTTTGTGTCCACATTATTTAAATTTACAATGAGAAAAACATTGTTTTGAATATTCTTCTTGTCAGTTTGACTTTCCTGGAACTTTTCTGTCAATTTTTCATTTCAGTTTGACATTCCTGGAAGACCTGGCCTACACATGACCACCCCAGACAATGTTCGCTTCAATGACGGCAAGTGGCATTCTGTGTTCATCCTGCATGAGAAGGTCAACGGACAAGAACAGTTGAGTATGGCAGTAGATGGACTTCATTCCTCATATTCCTACTCAGGAATTGATCAACTCAACCTGCAAGGCCCACTGTATATAGGTACAGATTTGTTTAAATTTAATATTTTTTTCTTAAAATTAAAATGTTTTTGGGGGGGGGGGGGGGGGGGGGTTAACATTGCTTTCTTTATTTTCAGTCAACTTAACCACAAGTGTCAAAAAAAAAGTTACTTGTCATTTTTCTGCACATTATGAGAAAAGAAAACTGGAAAATGTTAGGACAATTGGACAGACTGGTGGAAAAAGCAGTAGATGAAAACAACAAGAGACGTACGTTAGTTAGTTAAGTTTAGTTTAGTTTATTTTAGTTAGTTAGTTAGTTAGTTAGTTAGTTAGTTAGTTAGTTAGTTAGTTAGTTAGTTAGTTAGTTAGTTAGTTAGTTAGTTAGTTAGTTAGTTAGTTAGTTAGTTAAGTTAGTTTAGTTAGTTTAGTTAGTTAGTTAGTTAGTTATCATCATTGCACTCCGGACATTTCCATAGGTGCTCAGATCCTCCCCTCAGTATGAACCCCAACGTCCGATGGCTAATAGTACCAGTTCTATGTTGATTAACAAGTCTTCTGGTGTGTCTGGTGTGCGTCTCGTTTTTTGCTATGCCGATCTTAATTCCCAAGTCTGACATTCTGGCGAGTGATGTGGATTCACTGCCACTAAAGTCCTCTATCTTCCCATTTCTCTGAGGGTATTAATAATATCAGCATGATCTATAGGCTGACCTTCGGTAGTGATAGCGGATCCAGCCAACCTGTCAGCTCTTTCATTTTCATCGATGCCTGTGTGTCCCAAAACAAAACAAAAGAAAAGGTGACTCCACGCATAGATTAAATGAAAGAACTTTATTTTTAAAGGATCATAGATTGGGCACGCAGACCTGTCTTACATTGACTCTTTCCCAACACTCATCTTTCATACATCAATTATTTGTTATCTATAAAGCATTTAAGTTGCACAATTGTCTCAGCTCACTGTCTTCCATACTCATGATGTTGTGATATCTCAGACTCTGGTGCAGATTTGCTGAAACAGCTCAGGACACTTGTAATATCAGTCTCTGTAATGAGACTGCTGTATTCAAGGTTACAGAAATGTCTATCCTGTACTCTCTTCTCATCTTTTTTCTTTTGACTTTATCTTTATTGTTTGTCTGATGTAAATATCAGTTCAGAGTCTTCATTTCCTTACGTACATTTATGCAGTCTCCAGAACTTTATAAGTGTCATGTCTTGGCTGATTTCCTGGCTGAAGATCTCTCATTATTTATACTTTGTTTCTTTGGCAAATTCGTTGAAGATGTTCAGTAAGCCTATCTTCCTTAATCTTGAGCTACTGGATGCATCTATCCTTTTCTTGCCTTCTGCCACTCTTTGGTGGCTAGATGTTTAGCATGCCATGCCTTGATGACTTCCTCTGTCTACGAAAGTGGCTGCTATCTCTTCATCTTCTTCTGAGTCATTGCCATGCGAGTCTTACAGTGCAAGCGACCTATGACATCAGGGCTTTATTGTTGGAATGGGTTGCCTTTCCTGCCTCCATGTCTCTTGATTAGATACCTCTATATCATTACTACAGAGGCACTAATCATATTTTCAAGTTACAATACATCTCTCCACCAGAAATTCAAGATCATTCATGTTTTTACCATGATAACTTTACAATTATCACATCATCTTTTTGTTTTGGAGAGTTCAGTGTCATTGACACCTTCTCAGTATAGGCTACCAGTCAAGCCTACACACTATACCCACCCCCCCCCCCCGTATGCATTATGATCAGTATTATAACGTGTATGAAGAGTTCAGCTAATATATAAATAATATAAAATTTATTTATAAAAATAAAATTGATCAATTTTGTTTTTAAATAGGTGGTGTTCCAGAAGCTATATTTCAGAAACCAATAGTCAGGGAGTTTCTGTCTTCAAAGACAGGATATCGTGGATGTTTGGCATCAGTAGATCTTGGCAGAGACATTCCTAACCTCTATGATTATGGTCAGAATACAGGCATCATGAACACTTGTCAAAGTATGTTTGATCTTTTTAATGATGTGAAATAATAGAATAATTAGTCACTGTCTCTTTGTTTGGAGCACTTTCCTTCTCTTACACCCTAAATACGATAGCAATGGGACATTGTCTGGGTAAACTCATCAGAATTGCTAGATTCCCAACAGCTGATCACTCAGCTTCGCCGGTGAAAATTTACCTCCTGAATCACTTTCTGACAAATCTAAATTTTGTTTGTCATTATCAGAATTAAAAACATCTGACTGAAACAATTTCAGAGCTTCCAACACAGAGAGACACATTTTGCGACCTGTACTTGTGGTTGAAACATTGGTATTCATGGCACTCGAAAACAAACTTAGAAAATGCACTGTTGAAAAAAATGTAGCTATGAATCTGAACATTTTATGCACCAGTGTCTTGGGTTTTTGTATGTTGCTAAAAGGAAATTGTTTAGAGTGACTTTGCCTGAATACTTTAATTGAAGTTCCAAACATTAGAAACAAGTACAGAGTCGTGTGCGAAGCAATATATACGGGACACACGATCGACGATGACAGCGTTGTTTGCGTGAAACGGAACTTCTCAATCAACGCTCACACCGTTGCTTGGGCCTTAAAAAGTTAAACCAATCATTCATTGCCCGAATGAAAGTTTTTTTTTTTTTAAAACCAGCTAAACTGAAAGATCCTTTTCATGCCAGTAGCGCATCGGGCATTAGATGTTCAGCTCATATTTTTATAGGCCAGAATGCACCTGGCATGTGATGTGGTCAACATAATGTTGACCGACTTTATTTCCCAGAAAATATCCATTTTAGGCTGGGTTGTAACCTGGGAGCTAAGGTCAGTTTTGAAAAAATCTAAACCCAAGACTTTTGAGCCGGCATGTGAGTATCTAGCCACTATGCTGCTGCATTGCCCTTATAGGGATAAACAATATACAGGACCTCGCTGAGGTACGACTGAGTTCCACCTCAACTAAATGTTCATAAGTCAAACTGCTCGTAAGTTGAATTTATATTTTTCAACACCAATTTTTATTCAGACAGGTTATAAAATTGTTTACAGAAAACACAAAAATGCAATCTATGAACTTATAATTATTGTACATAATGTGATGAATAAATAATATGTACTCTGTTGTACATACTGTATTAAAAAAAAATGCAACCTGAGATTATTATTTTGATTTTTTTGATTTTGTGCTTGTAAGTGCAGATGGTTACCATAAGTCCTGTTTCTGTCAGGACAGTATCATTTTTTAGATAGATACTCAGCGTCAGTTGGAACAGTGGAATTTTGTTGTTATTGAGTATTGACGAGATAGTCTGGGGGTCCTGACTGACTGACTCTCTACCCCACTAGGACATCACACAAGCGATAAACACCTGATGACACAATGTGCCACTATGTGGATGAGGATCACAGTGGAGAGGTCCCAGAAACCGCGTTCAGCCAATTGGCCATATTTATGGTCAGGCTATATTGTGGCCCTTGGCTAGAGCCAGAGTAGGGCTTCAAATAATGAAAAATTTCATCCTGAAAAGGACGAGAAGTATAGTAGTCGTCTGGGCATCCTTTAAAAAAAAAAAACTGATACTGTCCTGATGATATGGTCACTGAATGTAGAGACAGATTGCGGACAAACACTGCTTGTTTATATATTAATCTGACCATGTTCTTTCAGACATCACAAGCCAGTGTACAAAAACTACTTGCAAGAATGGAGGAGTTTGCCTTGATCACCTCAACAATGGAACAACTTGGTGCGACTGCTCTAAGACAGCATTTACGGGTCCTGCTTGTGAAGATGGTAGTGATTTTTGATTTTCACATTTTCATTTCTTGCATGCTTCTTTTTCTGTATTTTGTCAGCAATAGGGTAAATTTATTTATGTTATGATTGTTGAATAGTTTGTGTGTGTGTGTGTGTGTGTGTGTGTTTTTGTGTTTTTTTTATTTTTAAATTTTACTTTTGTGACTTCTTAATTCTGTATTTTTCTGCCAGTTTTTTTTAAAAGTGTATAAATATTCTTGTTCATTAATTTTGTATTACAATTATGAATTCTTAGTTTTTGTTTTTCTGGAGCGAGAAAAGCAGAAGAGATAGGAGGGAGGAAAGTAATAGAGACAGCGTGGAAGGTACTAGAGACAAATAAATAGATAGAGAGAAAAGCAGTAGAGATAGAAGGTAAGAAAGCAGGAAGATAGAAGGACACACTATGGAACAGTCAGAAAATGTAAATTTTCATGCCATTTTTTAATGATCTCAAGCACTTTATCAACCCTGCCCAAAATGGGTATCAGGTTTTGTTATGGGAAATACAAGCAGCTGATGTGAAGTTGACCACATCACCCATAAAGTCCACTCGGTCTATAACAAATGTAGGTCCGGCACTATATGCTCAATGTATTAAAAGCATGAAAATGGTCCTTTATAATGCCAGAGACGACACCACCAACGCCAAAACTACCTAAACCCTATGTAGGAGAAGCATTTTACAACAAGGACACAAGAAGACCACCGAAATAACACCAGACCCCACCATTATTTCCTTCAGTACCTGCCCAAAGCAAACAACCGCCAGTCCTTCTTAGGATAGGCAGTCCCCTCTCCTCGGAAACAGCAAACGGCCAATGAAATTCACACAAAATCGACTCAACAGCCAATGATCCGGAGCGCAGCAGAAGGCCAGCCAGTTATGAAAGCAGACAATCGAGCGGAAAACCACAACAAATATCAAGCGACAAACACTGAAAGCACAATCCAAAACCAGATGAGATAAAGACCAGAAACGTCACCACAAATATAGCGGACAGGAAAGAGAGCAGCAATGCAATCTGACCTAGCTGAAAGTGGTCAAAGTTAAAAGACTGATAGATAGATCCTTTATTTTCTTTCAAGGGTAAGTGATTACATTCCCATAAAGAACTGACAGAAAAACTTGAACAATACCAATACCTGTTTTTATTGTTCAAATTTATTTTTGGAACAGAACCCCTTGGCTACTACTTCCGCAGCGAGGGAAACCCAGATCAGTATGGCATGCTGGTCTATCGTTATCCTGCCCTGGAGATGAATGATAATGAAGTTGATGAAGTCATTATGGGTGTGATGACAGACGAGAAAAATGCAGTCCTCACAAAACTTATCTCTGGAGTATTTAATGATTTTGTTGAAATTAAATTGGTAAGTAATGTGTTTTCAAGTATGTCCCATAAGTTTTCCAAGTTTCTAACTTTCTCTCCAGGTTGTCTTAGTTTCTATTTTCGTTATCTATGTTATCTAGGTTGTCAAAGTTTTTCCTCTAAGTTTTCTTAGTTTGTTATCGAGCTTATCTTCTAAATATCCAAGTTTACCATTATGTTGTCATAGTTTATCCTCTAAGTGTTATTAGTTTGTTGATATCTTCTAGATATACAAGTTTGTCTATAGGCTGTCATAGTTTATCCTCTAAGTTTTCTAAGTTTGTTATCCAGGTTACCTTTGTTATCTTCTAAACATTAATGTTTGTGTCTAGGTTGTCTTAGTTTATCCTCTAAGTTTCCAAGTTTGCTGCCAGGTTGTCTTAGCTCATCCTCAGAGTTTCCAAGTTTTCTGCCAGATTGTCTTTGTTTTATCCTCTAGGTTTCTCATTTGTCTTTTAGGTTGTCTTTTAATTATCCATGTTTGTCTCTTATTGTCTTCGCTGACCTCTAAGTTTCAAAGTTTGTCTTCTATATTGTCTTAGCTGTCTTCTAAATATGCAAGATTGTCTCCAGGTTGTCTTAGTTGTCTTTTAAGTTTCCAAGTTTGACTCCCAATTTCTCTTAGTATCTTCTAAGTTTCCAGGTTTTGGCTCCTAGGTCTCAAAATTTGTCTTCTCTGAAAATTAATGTCTCAGTTCTGTAAATGTCTATTTCTGCTCTGTAAAATAATATTTTTTGCTGTACATCTTTGCTGTAAGTTTATATCTTTACTTTATAAATTTAAATATTAGCTCTCTAAAAGTGTGCCTCTGCTCTGAATTTATATGTCCTTTACTATGTAAATGAATGACTTTGCCCTGTAAATTTATATCTTTGCTCTGTAAATTTATGACTGTTCTGTAAAACTTTCACTGTAAATTTGATCAATCTCCATAATTTTATGCTTTCTTCCTAAATATGCATGCCTCTCCTTTGGAAATGTATGTCTCCTCTCAGTAAATTTATGCATTCATTATGTAAATAAATGTCTTTACTCTGTAAATTTATGCACCCAGTATGTAAATAAATGTCTTTGCTCTGTAAATTTATTCACCCACTATAAACGCATGTCTTTGCTCTGTAAATTTATCATCACTCTGTAGATCACCCGTCTTCTGTCTTTCAGGTAAATGGTTACCCAGTTGTCACTTATGACACAAACGGGCAAGGAGCCTCCACCACCATTACTAGCGACGTGTTGGTCAGTGATGGTAATTATCACGTCATCAAGTTCCTGAGGACCAAAGACAAGGGTACACTTTCTGTGGATAGTGGAGTTAGTGTCAATACACACAGCAGTAAGTTTTTCGTTAGTTCTTCATCATTACCATAATCATCATTATTATGTATGTAGAGTTGAGTTGGGTTGAGTCAAGAACTGACATCACCGCACTCGAGGCATTCCTATGTGTGCTCCGTCCTCATCTTCACCAGCCAGCCCAGAGTTCCAATACTGATGGTACATGTCATAATCTGGTTATATGTCCATCTTGCCTTTCCTCTGAGTGTAGTGTGCCAGCCAGACCCTCTGGTTACACCCAGGTACCTCATTCTCTCCAGGCCATAATAATTATGGATGTAGAAGACTGCTTAACCCTTTTGCCCTGCAAATGCTTTAAAAAAAAGGACATGAACTCGTGGGAATTTCTGAAAATAAATGCTTTTTTTAAAAAAAAAGTATATTTTACACAGGTAACTATCATCAGAATAAACACTATGAAGAAAGAGACAATGGGGATAGGAAGACATACAGACAATTTAGAAATAAAATTAAAAAACAAAACCTTAAGACAGTCAGAGAAATTTAGTTATTTGGAAAAATTTTCCCAAAAGATGGAAAATTGGACAGAGAAATTCGCTCAAGATGTGCCAAAGCTAATTAAGTAATGGGGCAACTATCTCCCCTGTTAACACACAAGCAGATACCTCGGAGTACTAAAGTGAATCTTTTCAGAACTATTTTTTTGCCAACAGTGCCAAACTTGGACATTACGTCCTCTAATGAACATAAAATTGTGACAACAGAGATGAAATGCCTTAGAAGGGCTGTAGGAGTTTCAAGGAAAGTCAGTACAAAATCACAAGATCAGATGAATACTAGGAATAAAGCCAGTCTTACAGGTTGTCAAAGAACAACAAATGAAGTGGTTTGAACACCTAACAAGAATGCCCTGGTACTATCTACCACAGAGAACCACAGTGAAATGTTACTATGGGTATAGAGCGAGCGGAAGACCTCAGAAAATATGTAGTGATAGCATTAAGAGCAGCTTTACAGAAATGAACATCAGTCCTAATAATGCTCTTGACAGATCTCACGAGCTCACCAAGGAACATTACATCCCCCCCCCCCCCCCCCCCCCCCCCCCCCCCCCCCCCCCCCCCCCCCCCCCCCCCCCCCCCCCCCCCCCCCCCCAACACTTCACTTAGGTACAAGGTGGAAGAGAAGGAGAAGAAGAAGAACTCATCACCATCATGTAGCCGGTCCTTTGCAGAACCTCGCTCTCATCATGGTCCATCTGAAGGAAACTTGATCTCTTGTGCTATCTTTAGTTAATATATTCACATCCCAGCCTCCGAGACCATAGGCAGGTACCCATAGAGCCAGTGGCATTTAATACCCTTCTTTTGAAGAATATCACTGCAGACCTGGCAATGCATCAGCATTTGCAAGGCTGTATCACAACAGTAAGTGACTAGATTTCTCATGGTGATAGCGTAAGCAGCTAGAAGATTTTTTACTATCTATCTATCTGGTAATCTTAGTTTCAGCTTCATAGCAAACGGGTCAGCCCATAGTTGCTCCGCTCCTGTGCCAACGAAAAACACACAGAATGTTTATCACTGTCCCTTGTAAAAAGATTGACAGACTGCTGTCTCAGCAAATCTTGCATTCACATGCATTAAAAGCATACGGTAGCCATCCGAAGTGTTAGCACAAACAGTCCGACATTAGAAATGCTGTTTATCATTGATGGTAGCAGAAGTCACCAAAAGATCAGCAGTTGCACACGTGATCAATTGTAATCACATAATGGCCCCACCAACATTACGACAACCGGAATCGTGCCATTTTCTGAATCTTTAATTCACACCACCACGTTGGTCACAGTAAAAAAACATTCCAAATGAAATCCACAGCTCACAGTGTCACGCCATGCACTCAACTCAGAAGCTGGGCAACGAAACTATAACCTTCAAGTCTACAAATGGAGCAAAAATGCTATGGCCACCGTGTGGCAGAAGCAAAAATTGTTGCCCCAGCTCACAATAGTGGCCGTGCCTAGCTTCCATTTGGACCTGAAGCATTATGTGAGGGTTAATAAACGGTCACCCCAGCAGTACCCTCAAGTAAAGGACCCTTTTCCACGCTTTAGGCGTATAGGGCATATAGGACTAGACCTATATTTTTATAGACCAATCGGCACAAGATGGTTGATGTGGTTGGCATCACGTCGGCTGCCTCTACTTCCTGGGGCTGCACCCGGTTCCCACTCAAGGCTAGGTCGACTTGGGAGCCAAGGTCATTTAAAAAAAAAAGTCAAGCTCCACCAGGGAGCGAACCCACGACCTTCCGATCCACGGCTAGCATCTAGTCGCTTGGCCACAGCGACTCCCTATATATATATGTGTGTGTGTGTGTGTGTGTGTGTGTGTGTGTGTGTGTGTGTGTGTGTGTGTGTGTGTGTGTGTGTGTGTGTGTGTGTGCGTGCGTGCGTGCGTGCGTGCGTGCGTGCGTGCGTGCGTGCGTGCGTGCGTGCGTGCGTGCGTGCGTGCGTGCGTGCGTGCGTGCGTGCGTGCGTGCGTGCGTGCGTGCGTGCGTGCGTGCGTGCGTGCGTGCGTGCGTGCGTGCGTGCGTGCGTGCGTGCGTGCGTGCGTGCGTGCGTGCGTGCGTGCGTGCGTGCGTGCGTGCGTGTGTGTGTGTATATATATATATATATATATCGGAAGAGGGAGAGAGCGATACAAGGTGAGGATCAGGCTGAATGAGCACAAATATTTGAGACACTGACACAGGGGATTCCCTATGGACACAAGGTTAGAAGATTGTGCTTCATTCTGCCAGGCATTGCCTTATATGGTTCAGTCTCTTCCTGCTTTAGAGCAGCTGTTTGCCTGCCGTGAGTGTTACAAACTATGTCAACACACTCAGCTTTAAGTCTTTGTTCATGTCTTTTCATTCTTTCAGTATCACCATCATGTATTGATAAGTCTCTTGTAACTGAAAAATTTTCAGAAAATGAATACTGAACAATATGTTTGTTATCTTTCTCAGCTCCACATGGTGTTTTTGATCGCTTGAGCAAGATCTTCATTGGAGGCAATTACCAGGGAGGTAGAATTGTTGATGGCACCGGATATCGTGGAATTATTGGAGGTTAGTGCCGCTATCATTTGTTACCTTTTTTATCTTGTGTAGTTTATATACTTCTGCAGACGTTACATACATATTTTTAAAATGCTGTTTTCATGTGATAGTTGTACGCCAATGATTTCTATGAGAAAACATTATGAGTTAGTTAAGTGATTTCTTAACACATTGTATGATGTTCATTGATTTCACAACATGTTGATAGTTAAGTGATTTCTCAACACATGTGATAGTTCATTGAGTTCTCAACATATGTGATTTCTCCACACATTATGTGACAGTTGAGTGATTTCTCAACAGAAGTTATGTTAATTCATTAATTCATTCACTCACTTACTCCTCTCCCAAGTGTAGATATGTTGATTCACTCACTCACACACTGACTCATTCATTGATACACTCACCCACACACCAACCACTCGCTCACTTACCTCTTGACTCACTCACTGATACACTCACCCACATAACTCACTGATACACTCACCCACATAACTCACTGATACACTCACCCACATAACTCACTGATACACTCACCCACATAACTCACTGATACACTCACCCACATAACTCACTGATACACTCACCCACATAACTCACTGATACACTCACCCACATAACTCACTGATACACTCACCCACATAACTCACTGATACACTCACCCACATAACTCACTGATACACTCACCCACATACTAACCACTCACTCACAACACTCACTCATTCAATGTTGGCAAAATTGTTTCGGTCCCCGCAGGAATGTATGTGAATGGGCACCTGATTTTCCCATATGTTAAGGACAATGTGCGCACTGAATTCTATGGAGACGTCAATCAAGCACCACATCCTTATAAATTAGGACCTCTGTAAGTGTGTACATTTGTTGTTTTCAGGTCTCTCTCTCTCTTTCTCTTTCTCTCTCTCTCTCTCTTTCTCTCTCTCTAAATCTGTGTGTGTGTGTTTGTGTGTGTATATATATATATACATATAAAGTAACACCAATTCATTTAGAACAAGTAATAAATTAAAAAAAAAAAAATACACCTTAGCATTAAACTTATCTTTATATGTATTATCATATCAATTTAAATTTCATGGGTACATAATTTTTTGGGTTTTGGAAATTATTAATCTCACAGCAAAAAACAGTTCTGTACTGAATCAGTTAAACATACAACATTCATATTTACTGTTCATTTTTATCTACAGGAAAACACCTCCTCCTACAGTTTCCTGGTTCACATTGACTACACGTCTCCCTGTTGGTGAGTCTTGACAGACAAATTCAGTGTATAAGTTTGACAGTTGTTTGGACCCCTCATAAAAGACTGCCATGATATTCTTGTCAAGAGTGTTAATTATATCTTTGACAGATTTGTTGTAGTGAAATATTAATAAACAAGAGATAACATGTTTAGGAAAGTTTGTAAAATAATAGCATGATATACATTCTTGACTTCTTTCTTCTTCAGTTATATTAATGTTATAGCTTCGTATACATTATTGATGCAGAGACTGGCCAGCAGGGGCCACAGAGGTGGACATTCAGCAATTAATTCAAGATAATGCTCGCTCAGAAGATTTGATCATTTACACGGATGGTTCAGTGTCAAGAGGCAAAAGAAGTTCTTGGCGTTTCTTAGCAAAAGTTAATGGTCGACATTTGGTGCAGGAGATCCTAGCATGTGATACAACAACATCCAGCTTAAGAATGGAGGTGGAGGCGGTCACTGCAGCTTTCCACTGGTTAGAGAATACAAGACACACACACACACACACACACACACACACATCATGACTGAAACTGATTCAGAAAGCATGCTGAGGAAGATCAGGACAGGCATGCTTTGTGCAGAGTGGCATGCCTCGCTGCGGAGGACATGGGTGAGGAGTATTGTCTGGATATTTTTGCCAGTAAACGCCAGTGTGTTGGGAAATGAACAGGCAGACAGACTGGCTGACTCTGCACAACTTGGTGGAATACTGATGCATGATAAGGCAGACGTGGTTAGGGCCTTGTGGGAGAGCGTGTACAGTTCCGAGGAGCAGATGGATCACCACAGTCTGGTGAGATTGATGCAGGGGGGAGTGACGAGAGGTTCTGGCAGATGCTCGAGGCTCAGAGGAAAGGCGAGACGAACGTTTAATCAGAATGCTACTGGCACCTTTAGTTATGGAACTCTTCGATAGCGCTTATGAAAATGCCCTGAGTGCTATGATGTCGGTTCTTGAATCAAATCATACATTCTTGATTTCTTTCTTCTTCAGTTATATTAATGTTATAACATGATATACATTCTTGATTTCTTTTTTCTTTAGTTATATAAACTGTTATAGCATGATATACATTCTTGATTTCTTCTTCTTTAGTTATACAAACTTGAATTCTTTTTCTTTAGTTATATAAACTGTTATAGCATGATATACATTTTTGATTTCTTCTTCTTTAGTTATACAAACTTGAATTCTTTTTCTTTAGTTATATAAACTGTTTTAGCATGATATACATTTTTGATTTCTTCTTCTTTAGTTATACAAACTGTTATAGCATGATATACAATCTTGATTTCTTCTTTAGTTATACAAACTTGAATTCTTTTTCTTTAGTTATACAAACTGTTATAGCATGATAAACAATCTTGATTTCTTCTTCTTTAGTTATACAAACTTGATTTCTTTTTCTTTAGTTATACAAACTGTTATAGCATGATAAACAATCTTGATTTCTTCTGTTTAGTTATACAAACTGCTACTTGTTATATTAGTTTTTCAAACTGCTACTTGATATATTAGTTTTTACAAACAGCTACTTGATATATTAGTTTTTTCAAACTGCTACTTGTTATATTAGTTTTTACAAACTGCTACTTGCTATATTAGTTTTTACAAACTGCTACTTGATATATTAGTTTTTACAAACTGCTACCTATTATATTAGTTTTTACAAACTGCTACTTGTTAAAATAGATTTTACAAACTGCTACTTGTTATATTAGTTTTTACAAATGGCTACTTGATAAACATTCTTCATGTCATTTTCAGTTATACCGACAGCACCGCCCCGCCCAGTTATTCCTATTTTGCCTGCTGATATTGGTGGTGGTGGCATTGCTTGGGATGGTGCTGCTGGTGCAGCCGGTGGTGGTGGAAACAGTGGAGGCAGTGGTGTTAATGTTTGGATCTTTCCCGACGGAAGTGCTGGCTCATCTGGAGTTGTCCCAGCTGGAGGGGCTGCCGGAGCAGGTTAGCAAGATACAGTAATCAATCCATAATCAGTCAGTTGTAATCATCACAGTGGTTGCAGTGGATCCATACTGTCTCTTATCCTCATTTTTAACTCTCTAAAACTGCTTTTCATCAATCTCTTAACTCTTTGAGTCCCAAGGAACGCATCATAAATTCATAGGTTACTGCCTAGAAGCCCAATGAACACATGATGCGCCGATTTTACGTCTCTTTTGACTACCCCTTGGGCCTATGATGCTAAACCCTCTGGGACTCAAAGAGTTAATGTGATCCCTTCTTTTGTATCATTTTCTATCTGACTTACTTACCTACCTAAATCTTTTCCTTCTATGGTTGTTGTCAAGAATGGACAAGGCCTTCTATCTGTTACTTATTTACCTACCTAAATCTTCTCCTTCTATGGTTGTTGTCAAGAATGGACAAGGCCTTCCTATTGAATGCCTTCGGAGATTAAAGGAATCAGGTAATGACTGATTCCACAACCTTGATCCGACTGTAAGGAACAGTAAGTCAAAAGGGAGTGAAGCCAAGTATAAACGCTGGGCAAGAGACAAAAGAAGAATTATAAACCAACACATATTTGATATTGTCTGTTGCTGCATAAAAAAGAATAGATTGAGAAGGGGGCTCTAAGCATTAATGAACTATGGTAATGGTAAGTTTCAGCTTCATAGAAAACTGGTCACCCCATAGTTGCTCCACTCCTGTGCCAACAACACAAACAGAATGTTTGTCACAGTCCCTTGTGGAAAGATTGACAGACTGCTGTCTTAGCAGATGCACTAGCATATGCACGCATTAAAAGCATACAGTAGCTATCAGAAGTGCTAACACAAACACTCCGACATTAGAAATGCAGTTCATCATCGACACTAGCAGAGGTCAGCAAATCAGCAGTTGCACATGCGGTCAGTTTAAATCACATAAAGGGCACCACCAATATTGCGTCGACAGGCCATACGCCATTTTCTGAATCTTCAGTTCACAACACCACATTGGTCTGGTCACAGTAGAAAAACTGAAGGATTCAGTGTGTACAGTGAGGATGTTTTTGTCAGCACCTTTCTGTTTCTCCAGACAATAGTGTTTTCTTGTGCAATAGGCAACTATGAAAATCACAGCCCATGGCAATGAGGAGTATAATTAAAGCAAGGGATAAAGTTCATCCTTTCCATAACCCAAAACTTGAACAGGATTGTACTGACTATGTATTGCTCATACAGCATGATCCATCCCTCAACCTACTTTGTTCGCTCGACAGGAATCACTTGTAAATTTAGAACAAAGAATGCAGCAGAAGCTGCCAGATCAGAAAAACATTGCTTGTCTGCCTGCCTGTCAGAGCTTTCCATCTAGACCTGCTGCCAGACAAGGCTATGGGCCTGGTCCCTCCTGCCAGAGCATTAAGTTTTTAGGCTGCATTTCCTCTTCCTAGGATAAGGTTAGTATCCTCTCCAGTGTGCTCCTCTGCCCGCAGCCATTGGCACAGTGTGGGATGTCAGGTTTGGTATACATCACCCCACATTTGGTGTTAACAGAAAGTGTGGGATGTCAGGTTTTGTATACATCACCCAACATGTGGTGTTAACAGAAAGTGTGGGATGTCAGGTTTGGTATACATCACCCAACATGTGGTGTTAACAGAAAGTGTGGGATGTCAGGTTTGGTATACATCACCCAACATGTGGTGTTAACAGAAAGAGTGGGATGTCAGGTTTGGTATACATCACCCAACATGTGGTGTTAACAGAAAGTGTGGGATGTCAGGTTTGGTATACATCACCCAACATGTGGTGTTAACAGAAAGTGTGGGATGTCAGGTTTTGTATACATCACCCAACATGTGGTGTTAACAGAAAGTGTGGGATGTCAGGTTTGGTATACATCACCCAACATGTGTTAACAGAAAGTGTGGGATGTCAGGTTTGGTATACATCACCCAACATGTGGTGTTAACAGAAAGAGTGGGATGTCAGGTTTGGTATACATCACCCAACATGTGGTGTTAACAGAAAGTGTGGGATGTCAGGTTTGGTATACATCACCCAACATGTGGTGTTAACAGAAAGTGTGGGATGTCAGGTTTTGTATACATCACCCAACATGTGGTGTTAACAGAAAGTGTGGGATGTCAGGTTTGGTATACATCACCCAACATTTGGTGTTAACAGAAAAGAAGAGGGTGACCTGCCAACAGACGGATTTATTTTATGGACTGGCTGTGAAACGGTGAGAATTATCTATCAATAACTAATCTATATTTTATGTTTTCAATGCAGGTCCACTGACGTCAGCACAGATTGCTGTTATTCCATCTTTACCAGCTGTAGGTCCTAGGGCAGGTGCGGTTATGGGAACCATTCTTGGACTTGCTATGTTTGCCAGCAGCTTGATGTGGGCCTTTTACAGGTAGATTCATCATTGGTAGTTATCATTGGGTTGCATTTTTATTTGTATTCATAAACTGTCTTTATTGCCTTTATTTACCCCTTTTTAGTTGGATAGTCATTGAGTCTGAGGATTTACAGCCACTTAGCTAGTGCAGGCACCACAGTAAAGCCACTAGCTAGGGCAGTCACCATAGTAAAGCCACATAGCTAGGGCAGTCACCACAGTAAAGCCACATAGCTAGGGCAGACACCACAGTAAAGCCACATAGCTAGTGCAGTCACCACAGTAAAGCCACATAGCTAGGGCAGTCACCATAGTAAAGCCACATAGCTAGGGCAGTCACCACAGTAAAGCCACATAGCTAGGGCAGTCACCACAGTAAAGCCACATAGCTAGTGCAGTCACCACAGTAAAGCCACATAGCTAGGGCAGTCACCACAGTAAAGCCACATAGCTAGGGCAGTCACCATAGTAAAGCCACATAGCTAGGGCAGTCAATACAGTAAAGCCACATAGCTAGTGCAGTCACCATAGTAAAGCCACATAGCTAGGGCAGTCACCACAGTAAAGCCACATAGCTAGTGCAGGCACCACAGTAAAGCCACATAGCTAGGGCAGTCACCACAGTAAAGCCACATAGCTAGTGCAGGCACCACAGTAAAGCCACATAGCTAGGGCAGTCACCACAGTAAAGCCACATAGCTAGTGCAGTCACCACAGTAAAGCCACATAGCTAGGGCAGTCACCACAGTAAAGCCACATAGCTAGGGCAGTCACCATAGTAAAGCCACATAGCTAGGGCAGTCAATACAGTAAAGCCACATAACTAGGGCAGTCACCACAGTAAAGCCACATAGCTAGGGCAGTCACCACAGTAAAGCCACATAGCTAGTGCAGTCACCATAGTAAAGCCACATAGCTAGGGCAGTCACCATAGTAAAGCCACATAGCTAGTGCAGTCACCACAGTAAAGCCACATAGCTAGGGCAGTCACCATAGTAAAGCCACATAGCTAGTGCAGTCACCACAGTAAAGCCACATAGCTAGGGCAGTCACCATAGTAAAGCCACATAGCTAGGGCAGTCACCATAGTAAAGCCACATAGCTAGGGCAGTCACCACAGTAAAGCCACATAGCTAGGGCAGTCACCACAGTAAAGCCACATAGCTAAGGCAGTCACCACAGTAAAGCCACATAGCTAGTGCAGTCGCTACAGTCTGTGGAGGTTAGGAATTTAATTCTTTCCATTTTCCGCGTGTGGGTTCCGGGGCCCCATTGTGGGGAAAACAAGAATAGACCCACTGCCTCCCCAAAAACATGTCGTAAGAGTCGACTAATTGGGAGCTTCCTTTGAAGTTGGAGTGTATCTGCCTGAGAGGCAAGGAACCAACAATCTGCATTTAAGTGAATCGGATCTGTAAAACTGATGCACACGCAATACTCAGGTTCTGGAGCAGGGCTGCAGTCCAGAAGTTGACGAACAACCAGAACTTTCCGCCAGAGTGTACAGCTGGTGAACGCGAAGAAGAAGAAGAATTCTTTCCATGACAGAGGAAAACTATCACCTTACAAAGGATCTGTACCTGGGTCTTCTGAATGAGAGCCCATCATTCTGAACTGTTTGGCCAGCTACTCTTTTTAGATTGAATAACTATTTAAATTGGAGGTAAACAGAGATTAGTGTCCCATGTCCACTGTCTTGTTGAATGGCCCTCCTTCCTCAACTTCTGAGAACCCCATCTCATAATAATAACTGAGCTATTGAGTTTATTTTATTGAAAACTGACATTGCAGCACTTTAAACATTTCCATAAGTATGCCCAATTTGGGTTTGCCAATACCCAGAGATTAAATAACTGTGTCCACCTCTAAGTTGATTGCCTCATTTTCTGGGAACCATAACAGTTTTGTTCTAAATCACAGTGATGTTTCATGAGGCTTATAGAAAGAAATGATTATAAACCAGAAGGATTGAACAGCATATTATTGATATAAACACTGCTACTGTGACTAAATATAATCTCATGAGGGAAAACAGTTAGGAAAAAGGAAAAAAGCAACAATGTTAAACCACTCAGTAATAAAAGTAGTGGTCAAATCAAGAAACAAACAAAACAGTCTGATTGCACAGTAATAGTGATGAGATAATACTGAAACTTCATTGATGTTAGGTAAATGATAACAATGGAGGGAATAAGTAACACATAAATAACATGGCGATAAGGAACGATATTCACTTATCTTTGATGAATGAAAACAGCAGATTAAATAAGCAACAAATAAATTACATAGAAACAGAAAAAACATGAAGCATAAAAAACATGGAAGCATAAATAACAGGGAAACAAGGAAAAATATTCACTTATCTTTGATGAATGATAGCAACATATGGAATAAGTAACACATAAACAACATGGAAACAAGTAAAGATGTTCACTTATCTGTAGTGAATGAAAACAAAGATGGAATAAGTAGCACATAAACAAAATGAAAAAAAGTAAAGATATTCACTTATCTTTGATGAATGATTTTAACAGATGGAATAAGTAACACATAAACAACATGGAAAACAGTAAAAATATTCACTTATCTTTGATGAATGATTACAACAATGAAATAAGCAAGATAGAGATGACATAATAAAAATATTCATTTACTTATTGTAAATAGTAATAACAGATGAAACAAACACTGAGGCAACATTGAAACAAGAAGAGATATTCATTTTCTTCTAATCTTATAATCGTCCTGTTGTACCTTCAAGTAAATAAGGTGGGCAGAGAGAGTGCATGGGAAATCCATGGTCCTTACAATACTGCCCAGGCTTTGTTCTATGGAGCAGAGGTGTTTCTTAGTCTTGGTAGTAACACTTGCCACCGCCACCATCTGTGAATTCTATAACTGCCTACAGCACAGTATAACACTGTTGTCCAGAAAACTGGAATGGTGCCAACAGTCTTGCTGTACTTTGCTGTTGCACTGAGCTAATGTATTATGTGGCTTTTAAAACTGGTTTTCTAAAATCCACTCTAGGTGCAAGCCCGGGTGGTGTACATGTCTGAAGCCACCGGTGGAAGCTCCACTGACCATCTCCACTCCTCGAGCAGGAAGCAATATGGGAGTCGTTGCTGCTGTCAACAGTGCAGGAACTGGGGCTGGGGGCAAGCCTGTAGCAGGTATGGTTTTGTTTAATGTGTTTTGTAGTTTTATATGACTTGTTCACCTGTCTTTATTGTCTGTTATATCTTTATATATTTTTTAATTTAAAAAAACAACCCTTTTTGTGTCAGTGCCACAACGGGCATATGATGCTAGTTATATTTTTATAGACCTGTTAGCACCTCATGGGTGATGTAGTTAACAGCTGGCCACCCACCTTGACTTTCTGGGACATTCTCTGGCACAGATTCTAGGCTATCTCAACCTGGGAGCCAAGGTCAGTTTTAAAACAAACATCTGACTTAAAATGGATTTGGAGCAAGCCTGTATTTACTACTTTTTAGAGAGGTGTAGGCAGTTTTAACATACAGCTGTGAATCCTTGACAGGCAGTTTTAACATACAGCTGTGAATCCTTGACAGGCAGTTTTAACATACAGCTGTGAATCCTTGACAGGCAGTTTTAACATACAGCTGTGAATCCTTGACAGGCAGTTTTAACATACAGCTGTGAATCCTTGACAGGCAGTTTTAACATACAGCTGTGAATCCTTGACAGGCAGTTTTAACTTACAGCTGTGAATCCTTGACAGGCAGTTTTAACATACAGCTGTGAATCCTTGACAGTTCAGTAACAAGCCAAATACTTTCTTGAGGTCACAGAGATATGGTTTTACAGAAGAATCCCTAAATTCCTTGGACAGTAACAAAAACAACAACAAAGAAACAAACAAACAAAAAACCAAGAGCGACCTAAAGGTTTTTAAAGAAGTGAGGGCTCAAAGACATCAAATAGCAAATATCTGAAAGCAGAAAGAGGCAATCATAATTTTTGGTCATGTTATGAGAAGAAAGAAACTGGACAGATCTGTGGAAAAAAGAAAGACAGTGAGGAAGACAGTGTGAGATAATTTTGATAGCCTTTTGTCTTGGCAGAGACAGTTGTCAGCACACAAACTGATACATACTGTTGATGATCGCAGATGATCAAGAGGCATGATTACCCATGGTAGTTGGCAAGGCACTTGATGATGATGACGGTAGGACAGAAGGGTTTTAATTTATGACCTCATGGCAAGAGCACGTGGTACCAACTATGCAGGCTCATCATCATCATCATCACATGCCCTGCTGACTGGCTAGGCGTTCATACATCTTCACAGATCTGGGTCTCTGGTCCTCTGAATCAGTTACACTGATGATATCCCTTTGTACCACCGCCGCAATTCATCTGTCATTATCTCTCTCAGTCTGCCTTTCCCTCTTCTACCATTGATCTTCCTAGTCATTGCAATATACTCCAAAGTTCTTCCCTCACCCATCACATGACCAAAGAACAGGGCTTGTCTTTACCTTATAGCTGTATATATTGATCTGTTTTCTTTAGCTTTTTTCAAGTAATTCTCATTAGTTACCCTGGCAGTCCACGTTATTCCTAACCTTCATCTGAGAAACCACATTCCTGTCACCACTAAGTTTCTTTTCTGTGCAGGCTAGAATTTTGATTTTTGTCTCCACTGTCATATTTGTCTTTAGCACCTTACCATCAGAACTGACATCCTATTTTGGCTATTGAAAAGGGTTATGGGATGCTTGAGGGAAAGTTCCAAGTGCTATGATGTTGGATCACAGCTCAACATATTCTTTAAGTACTTGTTTACTTTAGGGCATCTCTGGCTTAGGTGTTGTGAGTCTGACTCGTAATTCCAACGTACTGCGATCGAAACCCACTGCTGGCTGCGTGGGTTTTGTTCATGGTATAGAGCGTCGCAGGTCGATCCGGCCTAAAATGGGTACCAGGATGTCTGTCCTGGGGAAGTAAAGACGGCCGGCGTAATGCTGACCATATTATCAACCTAGAGCCGATTGGTCTGTAAAAATATGGGTGCTCTTCCTATAGGCCCGCAGAGCCTAAAAGGCATGAAAAGGGATCTTAACTTTTACTTTACTTGTTTACTTTTGTAACATCTTTCTGCTCTTATTTCCTGAACCTCTAGGGTTAGACTTTGTTGACAGTGGTGTTGTGGCAGGCAATGTCAGACCTGGTGGATTAAGTGCAGGTCACGCTGGTGGAGGTGGAAGTGGTGGAGCCTACTTCTACTCATCGCAAGCATCCTCAAATGCTAATCTCCGCAATGAAAGCTTTGATTCAGCCACTCTCAGAGCTACAGGCACATTTTCTAACAAAGGTAAGGATTTAAGTAATGATAACATAAACATTATTTTACACCTATCATTGCCCGACTTATTTTCTTGTATTTCAACAGGAGGATTACTTCAGAGCAGAACTAATCAACTAACTTTACTCAGGGTCTAACATTTTAAAAATGGGGATCGTCATGGGGTCAGAAACCCGACCCTAGCATAGAAAGATCATGAAAACAAAACAATTGCCAGTGACCAGTGGGCCACTTGCCAGGCCCTGCTTTAGAGTTTCTTCTTCTTCTTCTTCTTCTCTTCCACCTTGTACCTCATCGAAGTGTCGGGGGGAGATGTAATGTTCGTTGATGAGCTCTGTTAAGAGCACTATTAAGACTGATGTTCATTTCTGTAAGGCTGTTCTTAATGCCATCACTCCATCTTTTCCGAGGTCTTCCACTCGCTTTATACCCGTTGTAACGTTTTAGTGTGGCTCGCTGTGGCAGATAGTACCAGGGCATTCTTGTTAGGTGTCCAAACCATTTCATTTGTTGTTCTTTGATGACCTGTAAGACTGGCTTTATTCCTAGCATTCGTCTGATTTCAACTTTAAACTTTTCAACTTTAGAGTTTACATCAACATAAAATGAAGCACAAAATTTAAATCTTGTCAACTGGTCAACATCAAAGCACTCAGTTATTTCCCTTTAAGGTCGCCATCTTTATCTTCAGCAGCCAGTAAAAATTCCGATTGTGCTAATAGCAGTTTTTGATTATACATTACTCTTACCTTTTCTCCGGGAGTAAAGTATCAACCAGATCAGCTGGTCACTGCCAGCTGTACCATTATCTCCAGACCATAATGATCTGTTTGTGCCTCCGCATTGTTCCCTTGCTTCTCAAAGGCCTTGACCACATCCAGTTTGTCATGCATGAATTCACCACCATATGGTGCAGAACCAGCCAGTCTGACTGTTTGAGAAAATATCTAAAGAATGCTAACTATCCAAGACCTCTGAAGTAATGCTTGCCGCTCTTCATGGAGCATTCCTGTGTTAAACTTTCTTAGCATGCTGGAGCATTCCTGTGTTCAACTTTCTTAGCATGCTTTGAGACATATGTGTGCAGCGGGTTCTCAAGCCAGCAGAAAGTTGCTGTGACTGCCTCCACCTACTTTCTCAGTCTGACTGTTTGAGAAAATATGTAAAGAATATCCAGGACCTCTGAAGTAATGCTTGCCACTCTGCATTGAGCATGCCTGTGTTCAACTTTCTTAGCATGCTTTGAGACATATGTGTGCAGCGGGGTCTCAAGCCAGCAGAAAGTTGCTGTGACTGCCTCCACCTACATTCTCAGTCTGAATGTTTTAATATTGTTCACTAAACCTTGTTTAGCTAAGCATCATCCATTCACTTTCACAGTGAACCCCCACATGCTTCTTCACCTCTCAACACAGAGCCATCTTTTCCACTGAAACACACAGATCACATTGTCTGCGGTTACTTTTACATCTCATAGAATCTAAAATTAACCACGTCATCCTTTTGTACGCATGTGTGCATGTTATTCAGTCAGTAAAGAATGCTTTTTTTGCCAGTGGTTCATTAGCTCATAGTGCTAGACTCACATCTTGTAGACCACTAGGTTCTCAGTGGGTAACATGGTCAGCATCCAGCCAGTGGCCTTGACTTCACAGGTTGATACCTGGTGCGAATTTTAGGCTGGTTTTGCCTCCTCCCAAATGTAGTCAGCTTATTGCTGACACACATGCACACACACCTACACACACAAGCACATGCACACACACACACGCACATGCACACACACACACAGATGTCTCTTATAGGTATAAAAAAGTAGTGTTCATTATTTCACTCATTTACTCTTTCACTCATTCATTCATTCTTTCATATGTTCTCCCAGGGACTGCCATCGGAACTCCAAGAACTGGCCGCCATCAGTTTGCTTCAACATCAGCCAGTGGTTTTGAGTCCAGCACTGTTCTGACCCCAGCATCTCTACAGTCCTACCATTTTGAGGGAGGCCATGCAGATCCTGACTATGATCTGGCATCAGGTAACGAAACAAACAAAAACGAAACTAGGGTCAACAAAATATTCATCTTAAACAGTAACAAAAACAGATGAATTTACATATTGTTAGCATCTTTCCAAGTGATGGTTCTCTTCCTGGCTATCACAGCTTGTATTGACCAGTGGTCTTTCAATGAGTAGTATGCCAAGTTTTTATATCAACCACATTTACTTTCTAGAAATTTCCTGGTGCACATTTTGGACTGGGTGACCTTTGGAGCTCAGGTCAGTTTAAAAAAAAATCTTTATAAGGGATTCTTAAATATGATTACTGGGTCAATAGGGAAGTCTGATTGACTGACTTTCTACCCCACCAGGACATCACACAAGCAATAAACACCCGATGACACAATGTGCCACCATATGGATGAGGATCACCGTGGAGAGATCCCTGAAACCGCGTTAGCCATTAGGCCATAGTTATGGCCGGGCTATATTGCGGCCCCTGGCATGAGCCAGGGTGGGGCTTCAAATAACAAAAAGGACGGCAGAATATATAATAGGGAGTTGTGAAGCTCCCTCATATATACTTAAAATGTAGCAGTTCCTTTGCAGAATGTTGATCTCATCATGGTCTGCATGAAAAAAAAAGGATCTCTTTCCAGCTCTCCCATCTTGTATATTTTCCAACCCAAAGTGTCACCTTCATGCTGGTCAGCCCCTGCCCTCTTTGCTGGTACCAAACTTTCTGCTATTATTCCTTCAGTCCACTGTGTCACTTGATATGGCTATAATATTTTAGTTTCCAAAACAAGATACTGTTTTTTAGCCAGTCTTTCTTGATGTTTAGATCTTTTAGGATGTCAGTATTATTTTTTTTTGTCCAACATATTCTGATAATCTTTCTATAGGATTTCAGCACAAAAGCCCCTATTTAATTCCTTAATGACTGCGATATAGTCCATGACTCACATTCATATGCTGCTACAGGGAAGATGCATGTTCTCAAAGTTTTGACTTTAATGCCTTTACTTAACCATAGACTTTCAATACTAGGTCACAATATAATTGGTTTTTATGACATTTCTTTGCTACCATCAAACCCCACTACAGATTAACAACGCCCATTTCTTCTTCATGCCTTCTTCTTTCACATATTTTATAATGAGAAGTCTCTGTGTGGGTTCTGGGACCCTGTTTTTGGGAGAAAGAAAACAGACCCACTGCCTCCTGACAACCTTTCATACAAGTTGATTTGTTAGGCATTTGCTGAAACCAGATGTGTTACCGAAAGGTGTAGACAGCTTTGCTGTAATCCACAAAACAACATGTGGACTGCCTTTCTAAGGATAAACATAGAAGAAGAAGAAGAAGACGAAGTCCTGAGAAGGATTCTGTTTACATCATGCATTGATATTTTCTATCAGGTGTTCATCCCAGCTACCAGGGCAACACGTTAACTGTCGGTGGCGGAGGCGGTGGGTTCTCATCCTCTACCATGTCATCCAGTTACAATTACACAGTGAAGACCATACGGACAGTTGGTGGACAGAAACAGATGATGGGGTAAGTCTTCTTCTCCTTCTTTATCTCTGTTTCTGTATCTTTTATTAAAAAGTGTCTGTGTATTTCCTATTAACTCCTACCAACAGCCATATAGCTTCTATTGACACTTGTGTGTTTGTGTGTATTCCCTATAGAAATTTATGTATATGTATTTCCTATAGAAATTTATGTGTATGTTTTAATTTCCTATAGAAATTTATGTATATGTTTGTATTTCCTATAAAAATTTGTGTATATGTTTGTGTTTCCTATAGAAATTTGTGTATATGTTTGTGTTTCCTATAGAAATTTGTGTATATGTTTGTGTTTCCTACCAGCAGTTGTATGTACCTCCTGTTGACAGTTTGTTTGTATTTCTTATTGAAATGTGTATGTGTGTGTATCTCTTACTGACAATTGTTTATTTGTGTGTATCTCCTGTTGAAAGTTGTATGTTTGCATGGATTCCTTTATGAAATGTGTGTATCTCTTATCGACAGTTGTATGTCTCTGTGTACCTCCTGTTGCAAGTTGTGTGTTTGTATATCCCCAGTTGAACAGTGTTTATCTCCTATACAGGGGTGTATATATTTCAAATGTTAATAAAATGCATTTTTGATTATATACCTGAGACGTGTATGTATAAAATACCTGTATATGTATGTGTAAATGTTACTGTTCACAGTTATGCAGGGGGTAGCACATCCAACGTGATAGTGACCCCTGGTGCCATGGGTGAGGAGATCCGGGTAGACTGCTGCCTAATGACCGGTGATGGACACAGCGTGGTGACTGGTTCAAGCTTGGGTCCACCTCAAGTCTGGAATATGTCTGTAAGTATGTGTAGAGGGGAAGATGGTGCTCGGCCATGCAATGAGAATATTGTATCTGTTATGATACACAATTTGGTGAAAATGTCATGAAAAAGGAGAGAAGTGGTAACTCACTTCAGCACACTGTACTCTGCTGCACTTCAGCACACTGTAGTCTGTTGAACTTCAGCACACTGTAGTCTGTTGAACTTCAGCGCACTGTAGTCTGTTGAACTTCAGCGCACTGTAGTCTGCTGCACTTCAGCACACTGTATTCTGCTGCACTTCAGCACACTGTACTCTGGTGCACTTCAGCACACTGTACTCTGGTATAGTATCAATCCTTATAAGACAGAAGATGATGATATGCTGGACACCTACTGAGAAGAAATGAGCAGAAAATAACCAGACAGTCAGTGAAGTGGGAGATAAAAGGATTGAGGAGACGAGGATGCCCAACAGAAACCCTGAATGCATTAAGATAACTTTATTGGTATAATAAAACATGCAAACATATACAGTAAAAATTGATCATTCACTGTGTAAACTCATCAGAATTGCTAGATTCCCAAACAGCTGATCAATCGCTCAGCTGCTGCTAGTGTAAATTCACCATCCGAATCACTTTTCCAAAAATGTAAATTTTCATGATCACTATTCCCTGTGTAGGGGGCAAAAAAGAATAGACCCACTGCCTACCCAGAAGCATATTGTAAGGGTAGACTAATTGGGAGCTTCCTCGAAGTCAGAGTGCATCTGCCTGAGAGGCAAGGTACCAGCAGTCTGCATACAAGTAAGTCAAATCTGTAAAACGAATGCACACGCAACACTCAGGTTCTGGAACAGGAATGGAATCCAAAAGTGGATGAACAACCAGAACTTTCTGCCAGAGTTTACAGCTGGTGAACACGAAAAAGAAGAAGAAGATTATCATTATCAGATCTGAAACATCCTATTGAAATAATTTGTTGTTTGGCCACAGAAAAGACACATTTTTTGGCCTGTACTTGTGGTTGGAACATTGGTATCCATGGCACTCGAAAACCAACTTAGAAAATGCACTGCGCCCACATGTCTTGGAACACGGAATTTTATTTAAAGGAAAATGTTAGAGTAACCTTCCCTGAATACTTTATTGATAGTTCCGAACATTGGAAACAAATACCGAGCCATTTGCGAATCAATAGGTACGGGTCATACGGTCGATGCGAACAGTGTTGTTTGGGCAAAACAAAACTTCTCAAGCAACACTCACAGCATTGCTCTGGTCTTAAAGAGTTATGGGTTACACTCGGGAAATTTTAAAATATCATGACCACTCCTTGGCTCTCTGATGCTTAAAACCCCTGTTAACTGACAGCTTATTTTATGTTTCACAGAATGGAGAACTGCTCCGCATCATGCAAGGGGAGACAGTTGGATCAACAAACCTTCATTTGGTGTGTAACGACCGTCTTTTAGTGGGTGCAGTAAATGCAGACCTGGAGATAAATCAGTACTCAGTTCCCAAGGGTGTCCATAATTATGTATTCCAGGTAAGAAATTTCAACATTATAATGTGGAGGTCAGCTGCAAAACACACTCCCAACACAGTCCCAACACAGCTTCACCAAAATTGTATTTAGTCCCTTGTGTTTCCGTTTCTCTGTCTCTTGTATTTTTAAGTTAAAGACGGTATCAAACCCAGGCCCTTAAATGCAGAAGAAAAGAAAAAAGAACAATAAAAAATCTGCTTTATGGATGTCATTTTTAGAACAGCCAGAAGTGATCACTGTATTCAAAATATGATTCCAGGACCAGAAAGAGGTGTCTACAATCAAAGCATTAATTCTGTCAGTACCCAGCAATACATTTTGTCTTTATCAGTCACTCCTATTATGGTATGAATTCATTAACTTTTTTGTGCCTAGTCTCATTTCATTAACCCTCTTTATGCAGTATGCTTCTTCAACACCTTCTGTCATGTAGATTTTTGTTTTTAAATGTCACCAGGCACAATCATTTATTGCTTTGAAGTTTTTAAAAAAATGTTGATGGCAGAATTTGTTACAGTACAAATTATATATCACAGTCGACATTACTGCACATTGGACATTCCTGTGGGTGCTCACTCTTCCAATGCAGCAGTCAACCCAAGGTACTTTTATTGACTGTTGCCATGAGAAGTTGGTTGCATTGACTTCAGTCTTTACATCTTGACTTTTAAGATGGCCTAAACATGCTTTACCATGTGTTTTTTTTTACTCTCAGGGTATTAATTGCAGTGGTTTAATGCAATCCAGTAGATTTTAACTTAGTAAATTTGGCACTAGCGGCGTCTGTGGCTTAGGCGTTGCGAGTCCGACTCGTAATTCTAACGTTCCGCAATCGAAACCCATTGCTGGCTGCGTGGATTTTAATCATGTTATGGGGCGTTGCAGGTCGACCCAGCCTAAAATGGGTACCAGGATGGCTGTCCTGGGGAAGTAAAGAAGGCTGGCGTAATGCTGACCACTTACCCACCTAGTGCCGATGGTCTGTAAAAATATGGCACTCTTTCCATATACCCGATACGCTCAAAGGCATGAAAAGAGATCTTTACTTTACTAAATTTGGCACTGAATGAGTTTTTCCTGTTTTTAAAACATGAACAGTGACATACTATTTCTCTATAAGAGCGAACATCAAAATATCATATCTGGCTCTATTGTCAGCATCCTCAAGATCAACTGCCGCCGCTACCATTTCCTGTTTATTCTGGAATCCCCACAGCTCTTCCTTTCTAGAAATATTTGCTATTTGATCTTATGGTTTTCAGTGGATTTGTTGCAAGATGTTGTTCCAGTTTTATGTCTGACAATATCATTTCTTAGTCAGTAAGAGATGGTTAACCTGGCAGCTTTCTTCTGGCAGCTCATCTCACAGGTTCTCTGGTTTGGGACACCAACTATCCACCCAACAACCATGCCATGAAAGATGACGGAGTTTGCTGAAATGTTATGTTTTGGGCGCTGATGCACAGTTGTCATAGCCTTGGTGTAAACCAGGGCTATTCAACTAAGTTTACTCACAGGCCAACATTTTGAAAATAGGGATCACCAGAGGCCGAAGCCCTAGCTTAGAAATAATGATACAATACAACTGGCAATTATCTGCGGGCCACTTACTAGGCTTCCCCGGGCCAGATTTGGCCTGCAGGCTGCCATTTGAATGGCCCTGCTGTAAACTATAGTACAGTATGCCAACTACCCGTTCAAAGGCAAATGCAGAAAAAAAAGAAGAATCTCATAGGTATTCATGTCACATAGGTGAGCTTGTGATAATGTCCAATTTAAACAAAAATGGGTAATTACACAAATGTTTTTTTATTTACCATTTTTCATCTTATCTTGCTTTTTTCCCCGACTCAACTAGATTTGGGACTTTGCTTCTGGCCACCCACTTGGCATGGCAGACAATGAAACCTGCTCGGCATTGACGGTGATGAGTGACAATGACAAAGTGGTTTTTGGCCGCTCTGACAAATTTGGTGGCGGCACCAACATTGTTGTCTGGGATCTTCTGGGAAATCAGCCAATCAAAGAAATGAGATATGATGCGCCTGTTGGCAACAACGATTATATTAATTACCTCAGTTTATCACAGGTAATGAACTCACAAATGAACTTTTTTTTATGTATTCTTATTGTTCTGTGCCTGTTTCTGATGTCTTTTTTGATATAGTATTTGTTTGTTTGAGAAACTGTGGCATGAGAGATGAAGGCTGACTTCATCAAAGTTGTTTACAGAAAGAAGACACCTTTTTTTAAGACTGTAAAAGTCCCCTGGTGCATGACAAGATAGATGTAGTCAGATCCCTGTGGGAGTGAGTGAGCAGTTTGAAAGCACAAATATATCATCACTGAAAGGAGAGAAGGGTGCAGTGGGGGTTGACCAGGTCATCTGACACTCAACATTGAGAGGACAGACAAGATAACACAATCAGATAACTACTGGTACCATAAGAACTGGAACTCTACTCTGGCTGCTAAAGATGACGACAGAGTGCATAGGAGAATGTCCCGAATGCTGTGATGTCGGGTCTCAACTGAGCTAAGTTGACTCATGGTGCTGACTAGATTTAAAAAAAAAATATTTTTTCAAGTGTGATTACCCTTCCCCAATTGTAGTTGAGTAAACTTCTCGGACAAGGCCAACACATTTGGACGATCTGTGTGCATCATCATCAAGTGCCTTGCCGGCTGGCATAGGCGATCATGCATCTCCACAGATCTCGTGTCTTTGATGTTCTGGATCAGTTCATCATCAACCAGCAAGTCCTTTACAGAACATCACTATTTTCACAGCACGCCTGAAGGTAGCCCTTTCTCTAGCCAGCTCTCCAGCCCCATGTGCTTTCAATGCCAATGCATCTTCAATATCTTTATCCATCTTTGCGTAGACCCCCGCCTCGCCTTCCACAAACTGCACCTTCCATCATTGTCTTTTCCAAGCCACGGTGAAACTTAATGTGGCCAAAATACTTTAAATTTAGGGACAGGATGCTGTTTATGAGCCAGATCTCCTTGATGTTCAACTCGTTTAGAATGTTGATGTTTTTCCTCTTCTTGATCCATGGTATTCTAAGAATTGTTCTATAGCATTTCATTTCAAAAGCTCCAATCTTTTTCCTCAGTGACTGAGTGAGAGTCTAAGACTCATAATTGTAGGTTGCCACAGGAAAAATGCATGATCTCAAGATTTTTACTTTAACCAATTTAATAGCGCTGTGCCATAGGTTCTTTATGCTGTTTAATCTCTGCATTGCCAATGCAAGTCTTCTTCTGACTTCTTTTGAGCAGTCGCCACTGTTGTTCACTAAAGATCCCAAGTATTCAAAATCTGTTACATTTTATATTTCTTCATTTTCGAATTGCGATACGTGGTTGGTGTGCTGTATTTACTGAGGACATCCATGATATCAATATCAAAGGTGCTGGGCTGGACTCCATCCATGATATCAAAGGGGCTGGGCTGGACTCCATCCATGATATCAAAGGGGCTGGGCTGGACTCCATCCATGATATCAAAGGAGCTGGGCTGGACTCCATCCATGATATCAAAGGTGCTGGGCTGGACTCCATCCATGATATCAAAGGTGCTGGGCTGGACTCCATCCATGATATCAAAGGGGCTGGGCTGGACTCCATCCATGATATCAAAGGGGCTGGGCTGGACTCCATCCATGATATCAAAGGGGCTGGGCTGGACTCCATCCATGATATCAAAGGTGCTGGGCTGGACTCCATCCATGATATCAAGAGGGCTGGGCTGGACTCCATCCATGATATAAAAGAGGCTGGGCTGGACTCCATCCATGATATCAAAGGGGCTGGGCTGGACTCAATCCTTGATATCAAAGGGGCTGGGCTGGACTCCATCCATGAAATCAAAGGGCTGGGCTGGACTCCATCCATGATATCAAAGGGCTGGGCTGGACTCCATCCATGATATCAAAGGTGCTGGGCTGGACTCCATCCATGATATCAAAGGGGCTGGGCTGGACTCCATCCATGATATCAAAGGGGCTGGGCTGGACTCCATCCATGATATCAAAGGGGCTGGGCTGGACTCCATCCATGATATCAAAGGGCTGGGCTGGACTCCATCCATGACTCCATCCATGATATCAAAGGGCTGGGCTGGACTCCATCCATGATATCAAAGGGGCTGGGCTGGACTCAGACAAATTCAGTGCAGCACCTTTGACCTCTCTCATTAACATTTGTAATAAGGTTTCTCTTAGATGGTCTTGCTTCCTCTATTCATTTTAAAAAAATATATTATTTTTCAGTGCTAGTTAAGTAATTCTTTGTCCATTTCTGAGGATTTGCCCAAAATATCACTGTTGTTTGGTCTTATGTCAGTTTGTCCTATAGAGCACTGTTTTCTATACCTCATATTTTAATTAGCTGGAATGTTTTTTTTCTTTTTTTACAAGTAAAGTACCCTTCTTATTTCAGTGGCATTGGGCATATAATGTATTTTTCATAGACTAGGTTGTAATTTGTGGATGATTGGTCAACATCACGATGGTTGCCTTTACTTCCCAGCACATTTCTTTAGTACCTTTTATAAATGTGGCTCAACCTGGAAGCCAGTGTCATTTCTTTTTTAAACAAAATGATCTGACTTGATGTGGATTCGAACCCAAGACTTTTGACCAGCAGACAGTCGTCCAGCCACTTTGCTACTGTGGCTCCCTCTTTTGTGTGCAATGAAGCCATTTTTATTGTTCTTTTTTATGTATTGAAACTAGTTTTTATGTTATTTTATACACATTAAAGTATATATACGTATAAAAGCTATTTTTCTCTCTTTCAAACACAGAATGACAGATATGTGATAGCAGGTTTCACAAATTCATTTGACAACTTGGCTGAGTTTGTGATCTTTGATATGACTTTGACTTCATATGGCATATCAGACCCACACATTCTCCGTCTGGATGCCAACCCAGAATGCACTGCCATTCTTCCTCAAGACGAGGCTGTGACAGGACTGAGAAATGGAGATCTGGTAGTGTGGAGCATCAAATCTGGTGGGTCTTTACAAATAATACTATCACTGTGTTTTGAAAGCTGAACTACTTCTCTGTGGGTTGTCTTAACTATTTTAAAACCTCTGCCCAGGCTAAGCAATATTTATTTCAGATGGTTAGTAAGGACTGAATCGACATCACAGCACTCGGGACACCCCTCCATAAGCGCTTCGTCCCCATCTTCAGCAGCAAGCAAAGAGTTAAAACTTGAATGGTACCAGAAACTGTATGACTGTATATCCGTTTCACCTTTCCCCTGAGTGTCGAGCGTCGGCCAGATCTCCTTGTAACTCCTCACAGTGCCATTCTCCTCAGACCGTAATGATCTGTCTGTTCCTCGGCACTGTTCACTCACTCCCAGAGGGCCCTCACAACATCTAGCTTGTCATACATCAGTTCACCACCAAGTGGTGAAGAACCAGCCAGTCTATCTGCCTGCTCATTTGCCAACACACCGGCATGACCTGGAGAAAATATCCAAATGATGCTAACTACCTGGGACCTCGGAAGTGATGCTTGCCACTCTGCATGAAGCATGCCTGCCTCTGCCTTTCTCAGCATGCTCTGTGAGTCAGTTACAATTACAACATGTGTGTAAATATCAGACTAAATAACATGTTCTTCTACCTCCTCTTTAAGTGCTCCAAGTGTGAAAAATCTGTCATGCCTGTTCTGTGTTGATTAGCTGTCTTGTACCATTAGTAACTTGGACTGTACTAGAAAAAAGTAAATGTAAAATTACATGTGAGATGAGATGTATACGAAATGCAATGGGAAAACAACAAGAAGAGTCACCAACAAAGAACTAAGAACAGTGGTAGGCACAGTACTAGTAAATGATCTCGTAGAACATCAAAGAATCAAATGGTCAGAATGGAACAAAATCAGCCAGCAGCTAGAGCACACTACATGAGAACAGCAAGTTACAAGGCAAGAGGCTGACCAAGAAAGCTATGGGTGGATGGAGTAAAGGAGACACTGCAGAAATGCGGTATAACATTAACACAGGCTACCCAATTAGAATACATCTGACTCCTCTCTTTATGACATAAGCAGTAGGACAAAAGAAAAAAGAAGAAGAAGTCAACAAGGACATTCCTCTCACAAGGCCACACCATTTCACATTTTGCTCTTTAATAAATTGAGTGACTAGTTCAGGTCCTAGCCTGTTTATGACTTATTTATTTTATTTGTTAATCCTATTTCAAAATGTGAATATTTTAGGTCAGCCAAGTCGGCAACTGATGTCAACCAATGGCAAACACGCTCACTCAAGGGAGGTCAAGGCTGTGGCAAGGTCAGAGGACAATAAATTCTTGGTGTCTGCATCAGCTGATGGCACCCTCAAATTGTGGGACCTGGATTCAGAAAGAAATATCTGCACTATGTCTGGACACAGTGATGAGGTATATTGCTTGGACATGAAGGCTTATTGCATGGCTGCCTGTCTCTCTTTGTATTTATCATCCTGTCAGTCTGTCTCTTTGTCTCTTTCCGCCTCTCTTTTTTGTCTCTCTTTTGCTGACTTTTTCTCTCTTTCCTCCTATGCATTTCTCACTGTATTGTATCTCTGTGTCAGTATCTATCTTCACTCTTTTATTTTCTCTGTCTTTTATCTCTGTCTCTGTGTCTCTCTATTACTCTCAGTGTATCTCTTATCTCTCTTATTTCTCTGTACCTCTGTCTCTATTTCTACCTCTTATTCTCTCTTTGTCGCTCTCTCTACATTTCTCTCACTTCTGCTGACTCTTTTTTGCTGTATCAAAAAAAATCGAATATCCAACATTTGCACAGCTACTTGCATCAAGAACTCTAACATCCAACATTGAAACATTCCTTTACATAAAAATATCCAACATCCAGTATTGAAACATCCTCTCTGCATTAAAAACTACAACATCAAGCATTCAAAATATTTCAAATTTTGACCTCTATAAGTAAAGAACATTATCCAACATTTGCATCCAATAGGTCTGGTGTGCTGCAATTTCTTCAGACAATGAAATTGTCGTGTCCTGGATCCAGAGATGGAACCATCCGTCTGTGGCAGCTACGTAA